ATACATTGTAGATCTGAGCTCCTGAGCGTCCATGTCTTCACCAGATTTGATTTACTCTAACCAAAGTATATTTTAACAATACTTTCTGTTGACTTGGCATTGTGCTTGTTCCTTTTTAGATTGGCATTTTTATTTTAAAATATGTTCTCAGTATTTTCTTTCTTGGGGCTTGACTTGAGCTTTGGCAAATTAAAAGAGGTTATTCTTCTAGGAACAGAGAGATGCCAGATGCCACTTTCTTGTCAGTTGCAGTTCTCCCAAGTGGGCCTTTTAATCTTGCTTGCAGTAGGGCCGGTAATCTCTGTTAACAAGATAAACCGGGAGGCCTTTACCCTGCCCCCACTCCCTTCTTTCCCTTTAAACACGAGGCAGCTAAATTGGAAGTTGGATGTCAGAATCCTCGAGTCCTACTTGGAGTTTCCTGCTGCTGACGCTAACGTTTTATTTTGTGTTGGGATCAGGAATAATTAAGAAGCCAAACTGAATGACATGGACTCAAAGTACATTTGATTTGAAACACTGTTTCCCATGGCAGTAATTCACAGCTTCCCTGGGTTTATGAAAAAGAGCATAGCAATGCATTCTTAGTTTCTTTTCTCTTAATCGCATTTATTGAGGTGACATTGGTTAATAAAATTATAGAGGACTCAGGTGGTCAATTCTATAATCCATCATCAATGTATTGTATTGTGTGTTTACACCCCAAGTCAAGTCTCCTTCCATCACCATTTATCCCCTCTACCCTTTCCTACCTTTCCCCACCCCCTTCCCTCTGGCAACCACCATACTGTTGTGTCCCTCTTTCCTTTTTTTTGCGGGGCGGGGTGGGGGGGGGCGGGCGATCTTTTTTTTTCTTTGCTTAATCCCTTCATCCTTCTCACCCAGCCCCCAATCCCATTCCTAGTTTCTAAAACCACTCTGTATTCAGTTAAAATCCTAAAATTTGGTTTGGCTGTACTTGGTAGAAAACCCAACCAACCAGTGGCTTAAGACAGAAGTTGGTCTCGAATTGGTGGGAAAGTGGGGGTTCACTCTTCTACATTCTCCGGGACCCTTTGAGGTTTTTAATGTTCTTATAAAGAATCGTACAGAAATGTTGTGGGTAATGTGATCTGCAGAATTTGCTTCAAAATAACATAGGAGGGGAGAGAATGGCTGAGGTGTGGCTGAGGAGGGACTAGCCAGAGTCACTGGTTTGGGGGGCTGGGTGTTGGGCACCTTGGGGTTCATTTTATCATCATCCAATTTCTGCTGGGATGAGTTCCTTGACCCTGCCCCTTGCCTCTCCTCATTCTCTTGTTAATTAATCTAATGTTTTTATTAGAATCTGTAAAAACGATGAAAGGAAGCTGAGACAGCAAATTCAATATGCTTCTGAAATTATTGCTGATTTTGCAGCATTAAGGTCACACAGAGTACCCATGAGAAAGGGGTCACCTTAACCACAGCATTTACCTGGGTAACGGGCATATGCAGCAGGTGGATACCCTGACCGTCGGAAAGCCAGTCCCACGTGGCTTATATACAGAGCATATCAGCTGCTCCATGTGGGGTGTTCACTTGACATTTATTGAGACAGTCAGTTCCCCTCTGCAGAGTAAACAGGCCTTCCAGCGGCTCTCATCCAGTCCATTTGGCTGGCTGTTTCCTCCGGAATAACATGCTATGTGTCGGGGTCTTACACAGCCATTAAAGAAATAATTCAACCGAGTCAATTTGAAGATCTGATTGGCTTTACTGAACGACTCATGAATCTTGGGCAGCACCCCATCTAGCAAGTAGAGAGGTGCTGCAGAGCAGCTGCACAATACAGAGGTTTTGTAGACAAGCTGGGGAAGACAAGGAAGTTATTAGCAAAAGAAAAGAAAGCATTATTTCAGGCAAGGTTATCTTCCCATACGGGAAGGCAAGGGTCTTATTAGGCAGCTTACCTGGGCTCCCTTTACAATATTATAGACTGACCAAAGAAGGTTGAAACTGCAGTTGGGTCAGGTGTTAAGTCCAGGTTCAGTGCCCTGGGCTTTAGCACAAGTGACTCCATTTTGGGCCTGTGGTTTTTCTCTTTAACAACAGCCATCTGTGATTATTCCATGGTGAAATGTGGGTCCTACATCAATCCAGATATGCTCTTCCACTCTATAGCATTCAAAACCCAAGATGCTGCCCCTACATTAGTCACTTTCACAATCTATTTTGGTAAAGATTCTTCAGGAAGCTGATGATACCCATCCACAAGCCACCCCTTATCAAGTTGGCACCCACACACACAACCTTCAACCGCTTAATTTCCAAATAAATAACAAAGACTTGCTTCTGCTTAACATGACACAACTATCCCTCTTACAGCCAAAACCACTCTAACCTTTTCCCCAGAAGGGCATCAGAGCCCGTTTTTCACCTTTGGAGAATGTTCCTTCTTTTCCTAGCTCATTCCTACTCCTTTTCTGACATCTTGTACTTAAAGCCTTATGTATAAAGTTATTTATTATGAGTACATCTTAAATTAGATGATTAAGAAATGAGATTAAAATTTTGGTTAATACTTATTAAAATATAGCCATTTCAAAATAAAGAATACTCATAACTATTACAGTCCCCGTTTCTACAACTGGGTACAAGGTCACCGCTAGTATTTATAACTACCATCATCCACTTCTTATTCCATTATTTCTTTTGTCCTCAGCAAGCACCATTGTGTAGTAGCAACCCAATTTCCCTTGATAGTCAGGATCAATCACCCAGACAGTACTTTGCCTGTTGACTCAATGCCCAAGAGGCCCAGATGGCAGCTTCAAGTTCCAATTCAAGGCAATCTTTGATGTGTCTCCTGGTGAGAGCATTTTCCCCTTTGTAACTAAGATCTCTAGACCAGCAGAGGCTGCAGTTGCAGGGATGGGAAGCAAAAATTTGACCATTGGATCACTAGGATTAATAGGGAGAGAAATGACTTTCAATTTTATCCGGGGATTCCTGGACTCCCAAATCCAGGGAATGGGAGAAACATGATGCTGATTTAGAGCCTGCGCCACTTACTGGAGAACATTGCCCCAGCCCTACAAGGTGTCACCACCTAGCTGGCACTGTAACGGAATCCTCAAAAAACCATTCAACCATCTGTCAAGGCAGTTGCTTCAAGATGATGGGGAACATGGCAAGACCAGTGAACTCCAGGAGCACGTACCTACTGCTGTCTTTCATTGGCTGTGAATACCATCATGGTAGATGAGACATTCTATAAGGCCACAGGTGGTAGTTTTAGTAGAAACACTGAGGGCAGGGAATACAAATCCATGTCCAGAGCAAGTGTCAATTCCAGTAAGAACAACTTGCTGCCTCTTCCATAATGAATGTGGTCCAAGGTAATCAACCTAACGCTAGGTGGCCGGTTGGTCCATTTAGGCAACGGTGCTATATTAGAGGCTCAGTGTTGTCTTGTCTGTTGGCAGGTTGGGCGCCCAGCAGCGGCTTCAGCCAAGTCAGCCTTGGTGAACACAGCGTGTGTGCTGCCGAGCCCATGCATAAGCTCATTGCTGTCGCCATGACCACACTGTACATGAGTCCACAGGAGCTGCTGACCGAGGTCTACAGGACAGGTCATCTTATACACCTGATTGTTAAAATCTTCCTCTACCCTTTGGTGAGCTTTCAAACAGAACACAAATATTTTCAAACTGCCTTTCAGAAAGGTCGGTCTTCCTGGCTGGCGTGGTTTGGTGGATTGAGTGTTGGCCTGGGAACCAAAGGGCTGGTCTGATCCCAGCCAGGGAACGTGCCTGCTTTGAGGGCTGGGTCCCCAGTTGGGCAACCACACATTTATGTTTTTCCCCCTCTCTTTCTCCCTCCCTTCCCCTCTCTAAAAATAAACAAATAAAATCTTAAAAAATCTGAACAAATCTTAAAAATGTGAATTATAGTTTAGTGGGGGAAAAAAAAAGGTCTGCCCTTACGAACTCTTCCTGAGATCTTTTGATTTTCCAGTCATGTCCCTTCCCAGTCCAACTACCCAGCCAAACCATGATTTGGTGCAGACTCTTTCCTCCCGGCCATCTCTCCTGCCTGGCACATGAAGAGGTGCACTGCTCCCGCTGGGGGTTCCCTTCACCGCCACGGGTCAGGGCTCCCTCAGAGAGGGGCTTCGGGGCCGCAGCTGTCCACTTCCAGGTGATGCGTGCGGATGATGCAGAACTCTCTGTAAACCAAGCCTGAGGCTTTCTTCCTCAGTCAACTGATCACAGGGAATTCCTATGAAGGCATGGGCGTGGGTTGAGAGAATGTAATGCAGCCAGAAGAGGAGCCTTGGGCAAATCTGGGTATTGGTTACAGGCTCTTACGGTAAGAGGTTAACCTTCTCAGGAAGGGATGGAAGGGCTGCCTCTTGGGGTAAAAAACGTCTGAGGTCCCTAGCTTCACTGAAATCTGCCAAAATGACCCATCCTAATGTTCACAGTTGCACTCCTTCCCAACCAATATCCTAAACTTCTAACAAAAGAGACCCTTTGAGATTGGGAACTCAATTTCTGTTGTAAGTCAATGCCAGAGGGACTCACGAGACATAGCAACTGGTTACACTCAGAGCGAAAGTTGTTTTCTGCAAACGATACCCAGCAGAAGCGGTGTCTGTCGGTAGAGTCCTGGGGATCCAGCTGTGTCCTCTCGTGCTCTTCCTTGTCCAAGGACACACAGATGCTCACTCGCTCTCTCTCCAATGGCGAACCACGGGGAAGTGTGCAGGGCCTCTGCCTGAGGAAGCCTGTTTTAGTCTCAGGTCCAAAGGGGCAGGTCACGAAGGTGTAACTATTACCTCTTTCCCCACATTCCGCAGGAACAGACTTAGTTCGGTTTTCAGAATCTCAGCCCCACAACTTAGAGCAGGTAATGTTCTTTCCATGGCATCGTGGAAGGTATCAAATTCCTTACATAGACCCCTGAGCCACGAGGAAAATGTAAAAGTCCTGAACGCATCCTTTTAATTTTAAAGAAATGTAGGAATCCTTTGACTAAACAATTATGCATTTAGGAATTTATTTTAAGAAAATAATGAGGATGTGCATAAAAATATAACGATCAAGGTGAATTACCAGAGGACTGTTTGTAACAAACTAAAAATTGCTTATGGGGAACAGTTGGGCATTTGGTACATAAATCATGGTACATCAATGAAATGGAATTCTCAGCAGCCATTAAAAATGTTATACAAGGACATTTATTGACATGGAAAGGTGTTGATGACATTCTGATGTGTGAACAAAGTAGACAGTAAAATAATGATTAAATTTTTGCAAAAAAAATGTATTTATAGCAAAAACAACACTCCCAAAGATATACACTACAGTGTTAGTAAGTGTGTATCCTAGGGAAGGGAGTATATAGGTAATTATTTTGTTCTTTGTTTGCCTCCATCCCTCCCCCCACCCTTTTTAATATAAAACACATAAGTTGCTTTTATAATAAAAGTTATATAATTCAACACCTTCATTTTGATGAAAACAAATCCATTAAAAAAAATCTCAGGCTTTTGCAGAAGCAGAAATGCTTTCTCGGTTGCCACAGAGGCGGTGAGCTTGTTCTCGGCGGAAGCTGGCAGGAGCCTTCGCAACCACAGCCCAAGTCAGATTTGCGGGCGGGGGGGATCAGGCTTCCCCGCAGCTCTGCGGCGCTCCCTTCAGCTTCCGCGCCCCCAGGCCAAGCAGCTCGCCTCCAGCCCAGTGCATCCTATTCTTGCCCAGTCACCAGCTTCATCATCTTCAGAGCCATGTCCCCTTGGTCAGAAGGAACCTAGAACCAAGCAGTGTCCAAATTAGTGCTCCCGGTTCTGTTCCTGGGGCTGGGTTCTCACGAGTGACATCCCGAGACCCAGAAGAGTGCCCACTCTGTGACAGCAGCCTGGTGGGACAGCTGCACCTAGGTGCATCCCTTAAAGAGGCGGTCATTTCTGTGAAATGTCCACTGTGCCAGACAAAAGCTCTTCTGGGCCCCAACCTCGCTGGGTGGCAGGGGACCCAAAGTCTGCCTTTAGGAAAGGACCTTCTTCATATGGGGCTGATCTCTTGATTTGTCCATAAGTGCTCTGCTTATGGAGCCAGGACCCAGCCTGAGAAGACTCCACAAATGTTTTACAGCATCGGTCCCCAACCCCCCGGGCCTTGGGCCACACTGGTCTGTGGCCTGTTAGGAACCAGGCCACATGTGAAGCTCACCTGAGCTCCACCTCCTGGTACTCAGCCCCACCCTCCGCACCCCTACCCTGTCTTCCATGAAACCAGTCCCTGGTGCCAAAAAGGTCGGGGACCACTGTTTTACAGGATTCTTTGTGTAGGAAGCATCGGAGACTGGAAATGACGTAGAAAAACGGCCCAAGAGGGAAGCTAACAGCAAAACTGTAAAGGGATATAAACAAGCAAACATGACCCTTTCTGTGGGTGGCACCCCTATTTTTGTACTGTATTAAACTTTGTTTCATTTCTCCCTTACAGTTTCTGAATAATTCCTGTAAAAAAAAAAAAAAAATCTACTTCCTACACACCACCAAGAGGGGGAGGGGCAGAGCCCTCAGTTTCTCCTCCACAAAAGACTGGGTTAGAGAGTAAAGGATCCCAAGTCCCGAAACTCCACGGCTCCATGATTCTCTACGGCACATCACTCACTGTCCCCAGTTCCCCTACCTGGGCCTCCCAGGCATGGTGGGGCTTACCAAAACATAACCACCTAAAGGGGAAGTCGATGGGGTATGATTTAATAACAGTCTCCAAGAGCTATTTTAAGGCTGCCCCCAACTGATCTCTTGTTCTTTCTCTGACAAACCAAGAGGAAATGGGTCTGAACTCCAGTTCAGACCAAGAGACCAAGCACGAGGTTGGCTCCTCCCTCTGTTCCCTCCTGCCCGATTCTGCAGAGACCCCGCTCTTAACAGCATTGTGCTCTTAAAACACAACGCGCTCTAACAAAGAGCCCTCCTAACCCTGTCTTGCTGCCTTGTTACTTTTCTCTTCAGATTATTTTATTCCTTCTGGTCTCCTTTTCTTTTTTTTTTTTAAATATTTTATTTCTTTTTAGAAACGGGGAAGGGAGGGAGGGAGGGAAAGAAACATGGATTTGTGAGATAAACACTGATTGGTTGCCACTCGCAAGACCTCTACCAGGGACCTGGCCCAAAACCCAGGCACATGCCCTGACCGGGAATCGAACCGGCACCCAATCCACTCAGCCACACCAGTCGGGGCCCTTCTCGTTTCTTAAGGAAGTTGTTGTCCTCTCTCCCTTACTGCTCACTCACTCACTCCAACCTTCCAAGCTGGCTTTAGAGTCTGCTATTCACTAAAAATGCTTGCAGTGATTACGGAAGACATCAGTGCACCCAAATTATTCCTCGCATTTCAGTCCTTTGTCTTTCCCAGCAGCACCTGACATCACCGTCTCCTCTCTGCTTCGAGGATGCCACATGTCCTTGGTCTCCCTCCTACTTCTCTGGCCACTTCCTCCTCAAATTTCATTTGGGGGGGTCCTTCTTTTGCCTCCTATCCCTTAAGTACGGGTGTACCCAGGGCCCTGCCCCTGCCTTTTCCGTATTCGACTCTCACATCTGCCTCCAAGGACACACGTTTGACTGCAGAGTCACGTACATACAGTTTACATATTCAGCTGCCTAATGGGCATCCCATGCGGCTGCTCTCCAGGGAGCGACCAAGTCCTGTCCATTCTCCCTTACATTCTGCCATGTCTCTCCCTTCTGGAATACCATGAAAGCCTCCTAAATGGGTGCTCTACTCCGGTCTTGTCCTGTGTCCTCTGCTGCTGGAATGTTATCTTTCTAGACAAATCTAGCAATTTTACAACTTTGCTTAAAACCCCTCAATGGCATCCCATTGCTGTTAAGCAAGGTCTGAGGTCCTTACCATGCCGTGCAAAGCCTCCCTTCTCCGTCTCATCTCTGCCCGGTGTCCCTCCCGAGGCCTCGGCTGTCTGAAGGCTCCTCTGGACCTGCACACGCTGGTCTCCTTGCTCCCACATTCTCCTGTTTACCTAGCTAACTCCTCCCAGTGACTGCGCCAGGCCCAGTCTTCCAGGGCCCCAAGCCTGGGCTGGGCTCCCTTCCCTGGACCAACCCCTGCATTAGCATCTCACCTCATCCATTAGGGTGTCTGTCTGTCTGGCCCTCATGCTGGGGCTCCTTTAAGGACAGGGTGGGTGCACCACCCGTGCACTCCCAGTACCTAGCACGGTGACTAGCAGTCACGAGACCCTGAAATGGTGTCCAATGAATAAAGGGAAGCAAAGAGAAACTTTAGTTTCTCTTAAAACTTTTCAACTTGACTTTCGGGACCTCCTTAAGAGGAAACTAAGGGTCACAGACAGGGAGTGGACTGGTGGTTGCCAGAGGGGAGGAGGGTTGAGGGTCTGGGTGACAGAGGTGAAGGGATTGAGAAGTACAAACTGGCAGCGACCGAAGAGCCACGGGGATGGAAAGCACAGCATAGGGAACACAGGCAACGGTAGGGCGGCAATCGTGTTTGGTGCCAGGCGGGTACTGGAAATTTCGGGGGGACCACTTTGTAAAAAGTGTATGATTGTCTAACGGCTATGCTGCACACATGAAACCAATACAAAATAGCGTTACAAGGAAACTGGAATTGAAAAAAGAGAACACACTGTGGCCCGATGCCTCACGTATATTGCAAGGCCGGGTCTGTCAGCCCCCCGGCTCCCCTTCCTCTGCACCGGGGTCCCTCCGCCTTGACACGACCTGTACTGGGGCTGCGCGGGCTTCCGTGCTGGGGCCGTCCTGCGCACGGTAGGGTGTTTACCAGGACCCCTGCCTTCTACCCCCAGGTACCAGGGCACCCACCCCCAAGCCGTGACAACCCAAAAGGTCTCTAGTCATTGCCAAAGTCCCTGGGGGCAAAGCTGACCCCATCTGAGAACCACTAATACCCCTACGGAGTAGCCTGTGAGAAGGTGTCTGTGGTGCCCCCGAGATCTCTCAGCACCTCCTCGGCCATCCAAGCAGATGCACTGAGAGCCTGCTGTGCCAGCGGAGCTTTAAGGCCAGTCCCCTGGGCCCGCTTTCCAGCTGGACGGCTGTCCCTCACCCGTTCCCTAGGCAGACTGTGTCCTGAGCACAATGGAGCCAAGGGGGCGGGCAGGCCAGGGGGCACCTTAATGTCCCTCTCAACTAATACCTGGTGGGAAACCGCAGTCTGGGGAAGAGAGACCCTGTGTTCACGTGGCCAGAACAAAGCACAACTGTGAGGGAGGCAGCTGGGCCCTCCTGCCTCCTGGGATCCTCCCTTTGGCACCTTGGCAGGGGCGTGTGCCTGCCCACGCGTGCGTGCGAGTAGTGGGTGTAGCCCTCCCCCACCTCCTTCACCACTCAGCCAGCCTACGATGTGAGGGAAAGGGCATGCGCCCTGGTTGGCATGGCTCAGTGGACTGAGCACTGCCCGTGAACTCAAAGGTCGCCGGTGTGATTTCCAGTGAGGGCACAGGCCTCGGTCAAGGGCCGTGTCCCCAGTAGGCGGCTTGTGAGAGGCAACGGATGGACGTTTCTCTCGCACACTGATGTCTCTCTCCCTTTCATTCTCCCTTCCTTCCCTTCTCTCTAAAAATAAGTAAATAAAACCTTAAGAAAATAAAAAAAAAAGAGACAGTTGGCTCTGCAAATGCAGGAGTGTGACAGCCTCCCTGCCCATGTTCGCAGGCAAAGCCTCTTTGAGGCTGAAATTCTGAAGCCCCTGAGCCAACGTTGCTGGAAGGCAGTCACGCAGAACGGGCCACGCACTGGCTTCACAGAGCCAAGCCCCAGTCTTCACTTCCTGAAAATGTCAGATGCTTTCTCCCTCCTCCCCTAGGGCAATGCATTCCTTCAGGACAAACTGTTAAGAGGGAAGTAACATTAAATTCATTTAAACTCAACAGCAAAGGACAGACAGCCCAGCTTACTTCTCTCAAAAGGAATTACTCTTTTAAATGAGAATTTCTAGACTCAAAGGAATGAGGTATTAATGGCAGAATTTTCTAAGAGACCTCGAAACGCTCCCAATCCCAAAGCACTTCGTGTAAAAGCAACTGAGGCCGGGCGCCCACACATAACCGACAGCCGGTGGCTTCACTCTCAGAACGATCGATTCAAAGTCTGGAGCAAAAGCAGCCCCTTTCTCACCATGTGTCCAGCTTTGAGAATCCAGTAGAAAGCCAGGTTCTTGTAGCTCTTGACAAAAGCAGACGTTTCAGAAGATACAGGGTCTAAGTACAGGGGCTTCCACTTTAGCTGACTGAATTTGGGCAGCTCTGCCCACTTGAGTTTCCGCACCCAGGCCTCCTGACCTGGCAAGAGAAACAGACGGGCCTGGCATTAAACTGCTGGGTGGAGTAGGAAAAAAAATCTCGGTCCTATAATCTGGTTTTTCCCAAAGTACAATAATATGCATAAAACTCGCCCTTGTAAAATTCGAATCCAAACTACAGTGAGACACCACCACACACCTGTTAGAACGGCTATTATCAACAAGGCAGGTAATGACAAGTGTTGGAGAGGCTGTGGAGAAAAAGAAACCCTCGTTCACTGCTGGTGGGAATGTAAACTGGTGCAGACACTATGGAAAACAGTACGGAGGTGCCTCAAAAAATTAAGAATAGAGTTACCATATGACCTAGCAACCATTCTTCTGGGTAGCTATACCCCAAAAATTTGAAAACATTTATTCATAAGGATATATGACCCCTATGTGCACTGTAGCATTATTCCTGGTGGCCAAGACAGGAAAACAATGCAAATGTCCTTCGACAGATGATTGGATAAAGAAGATGTGGTACCTATATACAATGCAATTCTACTCAGCCATAAGCAAAGCTGAAATACTGTCCATTGTGACAAGGATGGATCTTGAGGATACCATACTAAGTAAAATAAGTCAGAGAGGAAGAGTGAAGGGACCATACGGTTTCACTCACATGTGGGACATCAAACTAAAAGCAAGAAATAAACAGAACCGCACAGACACAGACACCAGTGCGAGGGTTACCAGAGGGAAAAGGGGTGGCGAGAGGCAGAGGAGGGTTCAGGCGGTCATACACGTGGTGACGGACGGGGGCTCGACTCTGGGTGAACGCACAGCGCGACGCACAGGTGATGTGTTGTAGAGTAGGACACGTGAAACCTATGTAATCTTATTAACCAGTGCCATCCCAATAAACGTAACAAAATTTTTTAAAACAGGCAGCAAAGCCCTGGCTAGTGGACTGAGCATTGGTCTGCGACCTGAAAGGTCCCTGGTGCGATTCCTCATCAGGGCACACGCCTGGGTTGTGGGCCAGGTCCCCAGTAAGGGGTGTGTGAGGGGCAACCAACTGATGTTTCTCTCACACATCGATGTTTTGTTCCCTCTCTGAAAATAAATATATACAAATTTTTTTTTAAAAAGCACCTCACCCTTGTAAAAATGCAAACTCCAATTCAGTTGGTGTGGGTGGGGCCTGAGATTCTGCCTTTTTAGCAAGCTCTTCATGGCACCCAGACAGTCAGAGGGAAGCCCAAGAACCATGAAGCACGACCAGCTTTAACTCTCCTACTGCTCTTCAGGAGGGAAATCAGGGACGTCTGGAGGTGACAGAGCTGTCAGGAGCTGAGAAGTCCCAGGGTTAGGAGATGGAAATGTGGAGGACCCAAGCAGTTTACAGAAGAAACAAAGAACTTTTTCATGTTGTCCTTAGTGTGTCGGGCTAACAAGTCACAAAAATACTGAGTCCTGCTGACTTTGAGGAACACACTGCACCCACCAGACTGTGGGCCTCGAAAGCCTGCTGAGAACCTGCCTCTGTGCTTCTCTGTGGCCCTACTGAACCCAGAAGTGGGCATGCAGTGACAGTCCCCAGTGTGACCCCAACTCCCCAAAGACCGCTTCCCCTGGGTTCTCAGGCTTACAGAGTCGTTAGGGTTTAGTCTTAATTCACCCTGCAAGGTTTTCCCTCAATTAAATAGTCCAGCTGTCCAAGTGTCGGAAAAATGTCTTCTGTTTTATTTTTGTGGTGGGGGTAGATGTCATTCTTTTTTTAAATTATACTTAAGGGCCTCAAAAGCTGGGTGGCTGTCTGAGGGGTCACAGCCTCAAGCAACTGCCATTTTCCAAGAGTCACGGTCAGGAGTGGATGGATACAACAGCAAATGATCTTTTTCCTAGCATTTCAATGTCACCAGCCCCCAGGCCAGCTCCCTTCCTGCTCAACCGAGGACAGCACCTCCACGTGCCACTCAGAGCGGGTTCCTACCCATGGTGTCCACGATCAGATCGAGCTGTCCGTTATACACGGTCACGTTGATCCCGGCGTCCAGCAACTCGTCCACGATGCTGATGGCAGGCTTCATGAAGTCCTCCTCCATGTTCAGGAAGACGCTGTCAGCCTGGCCTACGGGTGAGGAAGCAGAAAGAGGCAGCAGCTTAGAATCTGCCAGAACAAGAGACGTCTTTCAGCCCAGGTCCTCCTGGGCTTCGGCACCCATAGGTAAGCCCTATGCAGTGCCTAACGAAGTCTGAATGACAGACGCTTCACCAACAGGGACCGACCAGCCTGGATACCATGTCCTGAGTTGGTCACACAGAAGAGAAGCCTGAACAGCATGCGTGCTCTATTCTCTCAAATGCAGCGATAGCAGCAACAGCATTTTTAAGGAGGAACTGAAATCTAGAGGTGGTCAGTGCCCAGGGGAATAAGGAGTCTCTAAAATACTCATCAGGGCCCTGGCCAGGTGGCTCCACTGCTTGTTGTTGCATCGTCCTGTACATGAAAAGGTTTCGGGTTCTATTCCCGGTCAAGACACACACCTAGGTTGTGGGTTCAAAGCCTGGTCAGGGTGCACATGGGAACGAACTGATTGATGTTTCTCTCTCACATTTTCTCTCTCTCTCTCAAATCAATAAACGTATCTTCGGATAAGGATTCAAAAAATAAACAAACTAAAATACTCATTAGGCTGGTCTTCTCAGGGTTCAAGTTAGTCTTCCTCATTTCCTGAGCAACACTGGAACCCAATTTTAATTTCTGAACAAATGGGGCTACCCTAGTGGTAAACCAGGCCAATTCAGAGCTGGCCATGAGTGAAGCTACGTGGAGGACCAGGCCCAGGCGACAGGAGATGGCCAGTGCAGCATTCCCGCTGGCCTCCTGACCGCCACACCATCATCACAATCCTAAACAGTAATGACAATAGTGGCTACAGTTTTATTTGCCCGTCACTATGCTAAGTACGTACATTATAAGCAACATTTCATCTCCTCTTCATCACCACCCTGGGAGGTAAGGTCCCTTAAGTCTCTTAACTTGTACAATAAAGAAAACGAGGCTCTGAGAGGCTAAGAAACACGTCCAGGTTGAAACAGCTAGTCGATGGCAAGCTGGGATAGGAACACAGGCCTGGCTGACTCCGAACTACGTAGGCTTGACCACAAACCAGAACTCAAGACACTGGGCGTATCGGCCAAGAACACTTGGTCCTTTCCGCACCATACACAGACACGTCTGGAGCCAGAGAGTTTTCTATTAGGCATCATCTGAAAAAATGTAGTCACCTGGCCTGTCCAGCCACGCTGGGCCGAGAGGGAGGGTCCCTATCACCACAGACGCTGGGCCCGGAAAGCACGGCCATAAGGGTAAGACATGAGTCGGGCTAAAAACATGAGCTCCTTGGGGCTTGAGCAGGCCCTGGCCTCCTGTGGTTGCTCACACCTCTCTCCTCTCGGCTCCGTGACACATCCCACAGTTATTTTCGACCCTTGCAGCTCCGACACCACATTCTTTTTATTTGATCTAATTAACTTTTTTCTTCATTTCTAGAAAACTCTAAGGAGCGAGGAGGAAATGAAGACACCAAGTCCAGGACGAGTCCTTTGCTGATGGCGGGCTGAGAGGATGGCCCGTGACCCCCAAGGAAGCCAAGGCCGGAGCCAAGTCTTAACCTCGCAGCAGCTCTCAAGGGGCCACCCGAGAAAACCTCCGGATTGTAACTTCGGGATCTCTCAGACACAGAGGGACCCCTCCTCAGCATGGAGTGCTTCCCCTCCAGGAGCCTGGGCGTTCCACTTGCTCCCAGCCTTTCCATAGGACCGAACAGGAACTTACCTAAGGTTTTTACCTGACCTTGGTCTCTGAGGACCCCGACAGTTCCTCGCTATGGCCTTCAGGCCAGAATGCAGTGAACACTTGGACCACACAGAGAACTGGTTAAGCCTTCCAAAAAGGCCTTTGTCTGAAGTCACACCTGTGACCAACTGTGGCCTTAGGCATGGCTTTTTTATTTTTTTATTTTTATATTTACTTATTTATTTAGAGAGAGGGGGAGAAAGAGAGAGAGAGAAACATCAATTCATTGTTCCACTTATTTATGAATTCATTGGTGGATTCTTGTATGTGCCCTGACCAGGGATCAAATGTACAACCTTGGCGTATTGGGACAGCACTAACCGACTGACTCCTAACCGGCACTAACTTGGCCAGGGTTGGCCGTGGCTTTTCTAAATCTCCATTTGCTATCGGGGAAAACTTCAAACTAATACAAAAGTGAAGAGAAGAGTGTGATAATGCCCACATACTCTCACCTGGCTTAGTTATCAACTCATAACCAACCACTTTATTTCTCCCGCAACCAACCCCTTACTTGGAACCAAATCTGACATGTTAATCACAACCAACAAATCCCGTTCTACAAAGGAAGGCCTTTGAATCTGCCCCTTCCTTTGCCTCCTTCCAACTCTCCAAGTGGCAGTTAGGTCATGTAAGTTACCTCCCCAGGAGCAATTCTTTGGAATAATTTTGAGCTTCGTTCTGATGGGGCCATTCATGAGCTGATACAAGTCGTCCCGATTGAGGTGTCTCACGTGGCGTTGGTAAAGGTGAACTGAAAGAGACTGGTGCACAGTGAGTCAAAGGAGTGCAGGCGAGACCAAGAGGACATCTCCAAGCTGCTGGGGATGCGGCGGGTAAGAGGGAAGATTTCAGCTGGAAAATGAAAAGCATCACCTTGATTCGCCCCAAAGGGAGCAAGAAAGTCAGAACCACATTGATAGTGGAGAGGATTTATTAGTGTTGATTGCTGCCCTTTAAGTACTTTGGGGCCATGGAGATTGTCCAGCACGGCCAAAAGAAATCAGCTGAAGAGCAGACTCTAGAGGGCCCCTGCAGCCTTTATCCACCTCTTACAGTGGGAAGATGCCAGAATTTGGCACCCACAGCGAAGCTGGGGCAGCTGAGAGATAGCTGATCCAGCCTACAGGAGGACTGAGGTTGTAGCTCAGTGTGCAGAAGCTGGTTTGCAAACTTCAAAGCCAGATGTTCAAAAAATGACCTCCTGCATGATGCCACTTCTACGAGATGTCCTGAAAAGGCAAGTCTAGGCAAACAGAAAGCAGAGGTTGCCTGGGGCTGAATCAGCTGCTAACAGACACGAGGGATCTATCTGGGAAATGTTCGAGAACTAGACCATGGTCACGATTGCACAACTCTGTGAACGTACTAAAAACCACTGAATAGACACTTAAAACGGGTGCATTTCATGGTATGTAAATTATACATCAATAAAACTTTGTAGTCCAGCGACAGACGGTTACTATACTCACTGTGGTAGTCACTTTCTAAGGTATACAAATATTGGATCACTGCATTGTATGCCTATATAATATTGTATGTCAACTATAATTTAAAATAAATAAATAAAATAAAGCTTTTATAAGGACATTGGTTTCCTCTTGCAGAGAAGAGGAGACAAGGTCTAGCAACTTCAAGGTTCACTCACCTAGGTGGCTCTGGGTAAATTCTAGGCTTGACTTCATTGCAGACATGGGAGAGTTTTTAGTTAAGATGTTATAGAAGTTCACCCCATCTGTGTTCTGAAATAGAAGTACATTCGACTGTTTGTTTTCTTTTTCTCCATTATCAGTATTGCAAAACAGAAAAGCACCTGGCCATCCATCTTATTCAAGGACAGCTTTCTCTCCTAAGTTTGCTCGGACTGGAAAGAAATGCATATTGGCAGGCCCGGCCAGCTCAGCCTCCTGCGGCTAGTGAGCAGCTCATGAGAGAAGCTCAGATGCTGCAGGAGAAAATCAGGGGCCTGTGTGTTCACGTACAGGGAGAACGCGCTGCAGAGGGTGCTGCACACTCGAGTCCGCGGCCAGTGCTCTCCTCCCTCCGGCTCCCCGGGGTCAGAATGCTGCTTGCCAGGGACCCAAACACTCACCTCTGCAAGACATATCATTTCTCACAGAACCCATACATTCAGTCAAGGGACAAGCAAGTCTTGCAGGCCTGGGTGGCTTTCTGACCCTGTCACTCATACATGTCAGATTATCATTTAGCATGATTTCTGGGGAGTCTCGGTATAGACCCTGATCCTGACAAAACCAATCAGAGGTCCTACTTCCATGGGCAAAAACCCCTGGGCTGGCCCCCAAGCATCTACCATGTTACCTGTTCGACGACAATTTCTGCTTTTCCCCACAGCTGGGTGGCCTCTTTGTAGTGCCCCTTATCTATGGCATCCAAGACCTGCTCTGCAACCTCAGACACTTCTGCCAGACCTTGGTCATCGAGAAGAGACTGCAATGCAAATCAAGAAAACAAATCTGGTTTTGCTATAGTTAGGGATGGGAAAGGAATGAGTGGGAAGAAGAAAGGGGAGCTTACATATGAAAGTGTCTGTCACAAATCATATATTTATTATGAAAAAAACCCAGCAAAATGTTAACCTAGTCTAGATGGTGGTATATGGATGTTCACAGTGATCTTTCAAATTTTCTGCATAGCCGAACATTTTCTTAATAAAAGTTGGGGAGATTTTAAAAAACTGTGTTTCTTGAACCTGGAGAAATGCGGTAACTGTGCTGATGTTTCTTTAAATTTGTCCCCGGGGCCAGCTATTGCTTAGGGTCTCCCTATGATATGGACTAAAAGTCCCTAAGGAGCAGGGTCGCCCAGTACACTCAACTAGCTTTGTCCTTCCTTAGGACAGAGCCAGAAGAGGTTGGCTGGACTGCTCACAGCAGAGGGTGCAGAGAGGAGGCCCCCCCGCACTTACCATGCTGTACAGGTAAGGTCCCCAAGAGAGCACCGCATCTAAAGGAAATCACATAGGTAGAAAGTCAGTCCATCATGGCTCCATCCTTCCAAAGGAAAACCTAACTGGCCTCCCTCCCAAAGTGGAAAGAACCAGGAGCAAGAAACCCAGTGGCTTTCCACTGAAAGGCTCCTTCACTGCCCAGGGCCCATGTGGACGAGGGCCCATGTGCTGTCTCCGTGGCTGGAAGGTGGGACGAGGGTGTGGGGGCCTGTGCTGACTCAGGGCTAATGGCACATGGATCTGGCCTGATACCGGCCCAGTGAGTGAGTCACAGCCAGCGATGGCATCCCCACAGGCAGGCTGTGTTTATGCAGTGGAGGCTCTCACCTGCCGACTTCGAGGCTTTTTGACAGCAGAAATATTCCCCGCCCTCACATTCCTGCTCTGCTTCCTGCTTGCTCCTCCAACTTGGGGACACTAGCTTCTGCCAAGTTGCTAATTAAGGAATGATTTCATAATTCAAATGTCTGTGGCTATACTGCCAATCAATTCATTTCCGTCCCACAAATATGTCAAGGATTTACAAAGGGTCTGAAGCCAGTAGGGAGCTTTATAAGAGAGAAATATGAGTAAGACAACGTGTGTCCTCAAAGAGAACAGTGGCGCTGGCTTTGGACAAGTTCACTACCACCGTGACGCCAGGTTAAAGATGTGTCAGCCAACACAGCATCAAGGATCCTACGTTGTAAAGAACATTTAAATATACCCCTCCTTTGCTTGAAAGCCTTCCCTGGTCACGTAAGGCCAAGTGTCTCAAAGTACATATGTTTTGAATAACCTTGGTTCTGCAAAATTTTAATCCAGGTATTAAAAGAAAAAATTCTTTGGTGAAATATCTTTGGGGTTATGCAAAATGTAATGCATTCTTTACTGTGGGACTTCTCAGAGCCTTCGGTGTGCCTATGGAGGAGGCGGAGCCAGAGTCTAATACTTCCAAACTTACTTGACCGCAGAGCCATTGTATAGCAACTCACTGGGCTGGTATTCTTCAGTACAGCCTGAGAAATGCAGGCATACCAGGCCCTCCTGAACCTACCTACCCATCTGGCTCTCCAGTCCACCTTTAGGCCAATGTCAGTTTCTGGAAATAGAAAACTGTCTGAAAGTCTCCAATGCATCATACTCCCTGCTTGATATAGACCAGGAATTGACAAACTCTTTCTCTAAAGGGACAGACAGTAAATACTCTTGGTTTTGCAGTCCTCTATCACAACTACTCAACTTTATGGTTGCAGCCTCCAAACAGTATGTAAATAAATGGGCGTGACTGTCCTAATAAAAAACTTATTTACCAAAGCAGGGTGACAAGGCTGACATGACTTGTCGGTCATAGTCTGCTGACCTCTGATGTAGATCTAAAGAGTCCAATAGAATTTTCTGCAATGATGGAAGTGTTCTATATCTGTGTGGTCCCAAACAATAGTCGATAGCCATGTGTGCCTACTAGGTATCTGAAATGTGGATAGTGCAACTGAAAGATTGAAAATTTCATTGTGCCCTGGCTGGTGTGGCTCAGTAAACTGAATGCTGGTCTATGAATTGAAAGTTCACAGATTCAGTTCCTAGTCAGCGCACATGCCTGGGTTGCGGGCCACGTCCCCAGCTGGGAGCATGTGAGAGGCAACAGATCGACAAATACAATGACGCTTCTCTCCCTTTCTTTCTCCCTCCCTTCCCCTCTCTCTACAAATAAAAAAATAAAATAAAATCTTTAAAAAATAGGTTACATGAGTAACTGAACATCTTATGAAATCAATTGGACTTTATCAAAATGGAAAACTTAAAAAAAATAAGATTTTATTGTATTTTAATTAATTTAAATTTAAATAGTCAGAGATAGTTCTATGGCTACCACACTGATCTGTGCCGATCTTCTGGAGGACATGGGACATGTCTTTATATCGTTCCTGGCCCCTAACTTCCTAGCAAGCAATGAATAACTGTTAATGAAATTAACAGTGCTTCTCCCTCAAAAAGGGAGTATACTTCTGGGAGGGAGGGGTGATACTGAACGTGGACCTGGAACGAGGGAGTAAGATCTGGACTAAAAAATTCTTAAGGGGAGGTGGGTCATGGCCAGGTGAAAAAGATTTTTGGACAAGATGACTAGCACTTGTAAAAGCCATGAGGTGAAACTTACTGGTCTCCTGGAGGCAGGGTGTGGAGCGGTTAAATGCATGAATTCTAGTGGCTGCTGCCTGGATTTGAGTCCTGGCTTGAGCTGTGTGGCTCTAAACTGCTTAACCTCTCTGAGTTTCACCATCTCCAAAAATCAGGATAATAATAGGACCCATCCCATGAAGCTGCTGTAAGGATTAAATGAAGGCAACACATGCAAAGTGCTTAGTGTTGCTACAAAACTGTGATGAGACCCCAGGAGGAAGCAGGGAGGGGCCAGTGCTGTAATTTTGAGTGAGTCATCAATCAAGAAACCTGCCGGACCCTCCTGCCTCTGGCCAAGCACCTACAGCTTCCTGATGTCCTAGGAGGTCCATGCAGGGAGGACAAACAAGCAGCAGCCCTTTCTGCAATGATGACTCAGAATCTTGGTTATACCATTATTCCCTGGAGACGCCAAGAATGAGGGCACGAAAAAACCATTCCAAGCAGCACCAGTGTATCCTGAATCCACTGGGGACACGGCTCTGTAAACACATATCCTCCCATGTTACAACCACCGCAATCCAGAGACAGCACAGAAGGCCTAGAAAGTTCCCTCATGTCCCTCTCCAGCTTATTCCTCCCCCTCATCCCCAGTTTACTCTCTTCTGACTTCTAACTTTAAACTGACAGTTTGGCTTTGCCTGTGAAAAGTCTGCTTTTGTAAGGTAAGAACAGTAGTTCTCAACCAGGGGTAGTGCAGTCCCCCAGGGGACATTTGGCAATGTCTGGAAATATTTTCGGTTGTCATACTGGAGTGGAAATACTGGCATCTAAGGGCAGAGACCCTGCTAACGTCCTACAACGCACAGCACAGACCCCCACCACAAAGCATCAGGAGACTCAAAAGGTCAACAGGGCTGAGATTTTGGATGCTGTGTTAAGAGTTAATCCACTACGATGACTATTGCAAATGTCTCAAGTCACGCCCTGGATGTTTGCAACATAAACAACTTTTATTATGTACTCCTAACAAGGATGCGGATGCTCAGGTTATGAAACTGGGGAATTAAGTGGCAGGACCTGATGGTAACCTTATCTCATCATCAACGTGAGCAACAGATGGGAATTCCACCCCAAATTCCCGTGCCAACATCAGGGTGATTGATGGAGGGGACGGGATGACACACAGACCTGACCAGGCCACTCATTCTGTATGGCAGAGGCCAAACGCCATCACCTCTTGGAGCTTTCTGAATGTCTTTTACTGTAAAATTGGATTCCTTTGTTCTGAGAATCAAATGAAGAGAGTTTGGTTCAGTCCAGAGCAGCCCATGTTAGGTGCTGTGTAAATGAGTTTTCATCCTCAAATTTCTTGGATGGCCCTGGGCGCACACTTTCTGTGTTGACGTTTCCAAGGACCCAGAAAGTTTCATTGCCTTGTTCTCTGATCTGGATGACATAGCCCGAAGTCCCAGGGAAGGGTGGGGAAAGGAAGTAAAGAAGTATCTAAAATTTTGGTACTTACCGATTGGGGAGATCCAGGAGTCACCCAAAGCAACACCAGAGAAGTTGCACTTGATTGTCCCTTGCTGAATAGCCTGAAAGAGGAGGAGCCAAGAAACATCCTTGCCAAGGGGCCTCCATCTCTTCCCCAAAAGGAGAGAGCCCTGTCCTTATACGCGGCTTTCACGAGCGCAAAAAACTTCTGCCCACCCTCCCCATGTCTCCGAAGGCCTCTGATACTCTCTAGGGAACAGGAGTGACTCTTTTCTGACACCATTTGCACAATGGCGGGGAACTGCTGAGTTTCTCTCTGTTCTCTTCATAAGGGTGCTGGCAGGATGTGTGTGGAGTCCGATACAGCCCCTATTTTTTAGGAGGGGCACTGCCACCCCTCCGCCCTGGGTTCTGACGTCCCACAAGGTGCTCCGCGGGCTCCGTGGGTACGTTCCTCACTGTGCACACTGCAGTTCGCTGAAGGGCTGGGAGGCCTCCTCGGGAGGCCCCCGAGAGTGAGATGATGCCTTCAGAATAGGACCTCGTGCTCCTCTGCCCCCCTTTACTCATTAACAGTAAACAGTAGCAGAAAATTGGAAACAATCTGAATATCATAGGATGAGCTCAATGAATTATAGCCATTTCCACGGTACAGGATGCAACTTAAAAAAACCACGGGGAGCTCTTTATGAACTGGTATGAAAAGATCTCTAAGGTATACTGTTAAATTAAAAAGAGACATATAGAATAGTATGTAGTATATACTATTGTTTGTATAAAAACAGGAAAATAGAAAATAAGTGAATTAGCTTTTACAGGCATGACATACCTGTGGAAAGATACAGAAGAAACTAGTAACAGAAGTCGCCTTAGGGGAGGGGGACAGCGGCAAGAGAGAGCACTGTTACATATGAACCTTTCATATTTTTGCAATTTTGGATTATGGGACTGCACAAGCTATTCAGAGATCTAAAATAAGAAAACACCCTGGCTGGTGTGGCTCAGTGGATTGAGCGCCAGCCTGCAAACCAAAAAGTTGCTGGTTTGATTCTCTGGCAGGGCACAAGCCTGGGTTGCGGGCCAGGTCCCCAGTTGGGGCGTGAGAGGCAACCAATTGATGTTGATGTTTCTCTCCCTCTCTTTCTCCTCCCTTCCTCTAAAAATATATAAAGAAAGAAAGAAAAAAGAATGAATAGCCTGACTTTGAACACTGCTCATTAAAGAGAAAGAATTACGCATTTTTCTGACTTTTCCGGAAGGAGCTTATTTCAAGTTCCTGATGATGAGGGCAAGTTCCATGCTGTAGAGGGATACCAGCTGACAGATGGGGGCGAAACCAAGGGAGAGAAACATTGTTTCGAAATGCCTAAGGAAACTACTGGCTTAGGTGACAATTAAAAATTGATATTAAAGCCATTAGGTGAAAGATGGATTAAGACCTGGGCACCCATAGTGTGACTATGACACCGGTTGGATAACTTTCTGTCGGGGGAGGGTGTCAGAGTTCAGTGGAGGGAACAGGCTAGACCTAGACATTATGTGCCTTCTGATTGGAAGCAAAATGATGGATACAATGTTACCTGTATCAGAGGCTGGCGATGTTTTTTCTATCAAGGGCCAGATATAAATATGTTAGGGTTTGTAGACCTATGTTGCAATTACTCAACTCTGCCACTGTACTGCTTAAGCAACTACAGGCAATATGTACATAAATAAATGTTCTAATAAAACTTTATTTGTAGACATTGAAATCTGAGTTTTATATAATTTTCATATGTCACGAAGTATTACTCTTCTTTTAATCCCCCCGCCAACTGCCAATGTAAAAACCATTCTAAGCTCCGGGGTTGTGTACAAACAGGTGGTGGGCTGGATTCGATCCCCAGGCTGGTTTCCTGAGACCTGACCTATTATGATGTATTTTATCCAAAGCTTTTACGTTGAACGTGTAAAGGCCTTTAAATATAACTTCTAGTTTTGTAGGAAACACAGCAAAGGAGGCAATCAACGAAATACCACCACAAAGATGTTCCCTGACAAATCCAGAAAGTGGGACATTATGCAAGTTCAGTAGTTGGGTCTCTCTACCAATCAGGATCATAGAAAAGGGACTGTGTCAGATGGAAGCACAGTTCAGGGACATCACAGTTAGAGGCATTAAACCAACTGGCTACAAAGGACATGTTGGGATCATCAATGAAGCCCAAGTACTTGCGATGAAAATTTTATAGAATGGAAAGATGAGGACTAATGGTTGAAGAAAGCGGGCTGTGGACATTATGTATACTATGCTCTCATATTGCCTAAAAAATTATTTTTCTATGAAAATGCAAAAGAAGATTTCAACACAATACATTAAGGTGGTAGGAGTGGAGAACTCCATCTGGCAAGAAGGTGAAACTGTAATTGCTGTATTTTCTAGTTTTCTGTTACACACATATACTGCTTTTGATGAAAGGTTCATTTAAAAAAAAAAGAATAAATATTAAAAGTAAAATTCATACAAGCTCACTGTTAAAAAAAAAAATTTAAACCCAGAGCCCTGGCTGGGTAGCTCAGCTGGCGAGAGCATCATCCAGATACGCCAAGGCTGCGGTTTGACCCCTGGTCAGAGCACATACAAGAATCGGCCAATGAATGTAAAAATAAGTAGAAAAACAAATGGATGTTTCTCTCTCTCTCTCAAATCAGTAAGTAAAATTAAAAAAAATTAATTCACAGAAAGACACTTCTGTCCCACTCTCACCCTTACATTTGCTAGGAAACCACAGTTAGCATGTTACGAATCCTTCTAACCCCTTTCTTTGCTTTTACAGCACATATACACACATACACATACACACATATACAGAACTATCCTTTTTTTTTTTTTTTTTCCCTGTCTTCAGAACTATCCAGTCTTTATGATGGTTGCAAAGCGTCCCATCCTGGAGAGAGACACCTATTTTGTTTAAGTGACCTTCTACAAATGTCCATGACCTTGTTTTTGATTTTTGGCCATTACAAGCAATGCTGTTCTAAGCATCATCTAACACACATGTGTAAGTTCTTCCACAGAACAGATTCCTGGAAGTGAAATGATGGGGTCAAAGGCCACATACATTTTAAAAGATGACAGATTCTGCCAAATTGCCTTTTTAAAATGATTTACCAATTTTCATATCCACCAAAAGTGCATGAGAGCACTTATTTTCCTGACTTCTTACCAAACTGGGTGTTATCAATCTTTTAAATATTTTCAAATCTCATAAGTTTGGCTTACTAATAAAATTTGAGCATTTTTTCATATGTCCACAAGCTATTTTCATGTCTTCTATAAATTGCTTGTCTGTATTTTTTGTCAATTTTCTAGTAAGATATTGTCCTTGTTAAGTGGATTTATTGATTCAAATACTTTTTCTCTTACAATTACTTATAGAACTCGGAGGTTTAAATTTGTGTGTAGTCTAAATATATCAAACTTATCTTTTTGGCTCTTGGGTGTTTCATCTTATGAAGGAAAGATTTCCTACTCAAGATTACAAAAATTTCTCCTACATTTTCAAGTTCTTATAGTGTAGATGTTAAATTAAAAAATATTAATCTAGAATTAATGTTTTATGCAAGGCAAGAATTTAACTTCACTATTTTCCAAAGTGATAGCATTTACTGAATATTCTCTCAGTTCTCCAGTGATGTGAATGCCATCTTATTTATATATAATCATGGAATTATGGTATCTATCTATCTCATATATACAGGAGTACACAGATACATATACATACATAAACATATGTATACATTAAATCTGTTTCTTGATTCTTCACCCTGTTACATTTCACCTATTTGTCTGTTGCTATGCCAGCAGCACACTGCTTTACACACTGTAGCTTACAGCTTGTTTGACATCTGGTAGGGCAACCTTCACTGTTCGTTTTGAAACTTTTCATGACTATAATTACAGACTTGCTCTTACTCTGCATGTACAAGGCCCTATTCAAAGTCCATTCAGTAACAGGTGAATATAAAAAGTAACACAGTCAGTTTCTGCCTGAAACCAAAACAACAAAGTCGTCTTCCTTCTCACCTTATGAAGTTCTAGAGCGATGCCAGCAGCCATTTTTCCTCCATAGGACTCTGAGAAAATGTAGAATGGAACCGTCTAGCAAGAAAAAAAATTTATGAAGAACTAAACATCCTGAATATCTTTTAATTCACACACGTTAATTTCAAATTTCTACTGCATGTCACAGCCAGACAAATCCGCCTCTCGTTGTCCTTCTCCCTCCCCGTACCTGATTATGTCTCATTAGAATACTGACTCTAGGGTCACTCCTTCAAGCTGAAAACCCCCTTTAGCGATGATAGAAACAAAAGCCCACAGCCCAGTCTGGAGCATAAAGACAATCAGCTGGGCACTGAACTCTTGGGGAAGTTTATCCTGGTGGACTCAGTGTTACGACTGTTAACCCCTCTGCTGGCCCTGAGGCTTTGCTTACCTGAAACTCCTGGCGGCAATTGAAGAAGGACTCCAGGAGGGCCATCATGTCGGACGCCACTGTGGCAAGGTTTTTGGCATACGCGCCATCGTCCTCCACATAACTGAACCCAGTGCCCACGGGGTTGTCCACGAACAGCAGGCTGGCAGACTGGAGCTACATGCCACAGAGGAAAAGCAAACATTCCAGTCAGGCAGTCGGTCACCAGTTATCTCTGGATCACCTTGTCCGAGCTCGACAAAAACTACACATGGGAGGCTATCAGTGTGCTTACGATCCTGTTGCTAAAAGGGATGTAAAACAATAAGGGACAGGGGCATAGACTACTCTGGCAAGAAAAAAAAAAGGCAAGAAGGAAAGATTAACATACACCTGGGGATCAGAGCATCTAAGCTGTCGCTTTTCATGTGATACAACTGTCCTAAATGTGATGTACTAGTGCAGGGCGAACTGTGCAGCGGGCCTGAGCAACAGGGGACAGGACACGCGAAGGTGGAACACCTCACATCGGTTTCCTTCAAGACAAGGCCAGTCTCCACATTGGCCTGGCTTCCCTGGAGATTATGAGAACAACTTGATTCTAATACCTTCTCCAAAGAGACTCAGAGTTACAGAATTTACACCTGGAAGGATCCTTAGTGATGACACAGTCCAGCCATGCCTTTTACGGATCAGGAAATGAAAGCCCAAAAAGGGCCCAGGACTTCTCCAAGGTCACAAACTGGGACAGTAATGGCCGCATTAGGACTCCTCATTCAGGCTTCCTGTCCCAGTCGTATTACCCTCTTGGTTCTGGGAGGCTTGGGGACAAGGCAATGAGGCACTCTGCTGCTTCAGGAGGAAGTGATATTTCAGGAGGAAGTGAGTACAGGATGTTCCAGGCTGAGGGAACAGCATGTGCAAAGACCCTAAGGCAAGAGAAAGTAAAGGACCAGTATGGAGACAAACAGGAGACTCAAAGGACTCAGAGGGGTCATTAAGGAAGAGGTGATCCTGCAGTGAGTCTTAAAGAACAGTAGGCGTGAATATGGTGAGCTAGGTTGTGAATGGGTGGCCAAGGGAATAGCATCCAAGCCAAGGAAAGAGCCCATTCAGAGGCCTGAAGGTACAGTGCGTGTGGACAGATATTGGGAGACGAGGCTGGAGGGAAGCAGAAGCTGGCTTATGCCCAGGAATCTGGGTCTGATCTACGGAGTAACTGAAAGATTATAAGCTAAGGTGGGGTGGGGGGCACTTTAAAAGCAGCCACTAGCAGGAATGGATGAAGAATATTAACATTTGGGTATTACACACAATGCTACCATATGACCCAGCAGTTCCATGATAAGGTGTATACCCCGCCAAAGTTGAACATGGGAGTCTAAACAAATATGTGTACACCAGTGTTCCCTGCACTATTCACAATAACCAAAAGGCGGGAACAGTCCAAGTGTCCATCAACAGGCGAATGGATACACAAAACGTTCCAATACAACAAACTATTATTCAGCCTTAAAAAGGAATGAAGTATTGCTGTATGGTACCTGGCTAAACCTTGTAAGTATTATGCTAAGTGTCAAAAGCCAGACACCAAAGGCCACATGTTGTGTGATTCCATTCTTATAAAATGTCTAAAATAAGCAAATCTACAGAGACAGATGGTGCATTAGTGGTTGCTTGAGGAAGGACCGGAGGGTAAGCTAAGAGGTATGAGCTTTCAGGGGGATAGAAAGGCAGCGAAAATGTTCTGAAGTGGATTGTGATAATGGTTGTAAAACTCTGGATAGGCTGAAAGCCATTAAACTGTACACTTTAAGTGCGTGACTTGTATAGTGGATGAATTATGTTTTAGTAAGCTGTTTTTAAGAATTCATTCTTCGGCAAAAGTGAGCAGGTGGACAATGGGACTGACCCAAGGTTGGATGTGGGAGGTTGGAGGGGGAAGAAGGGTAAGGGGTCAGGGAGTGGGGGTGGGGCACTGACGGGGAGGGCTTAGGGAGGAGGTGCAGCTGGGAATGAAGAGAAGTGGTGGGGACAAGACACCACCATAAGGGGCTTGAAGTCTTGAGGAAGTCAAGAGGCAGGGGTGGAGGGGAGGAGAGAGGGGAAAGGATGGGGCATTGCGGCCAGAGGGTGGGACGCTGGAGTCAGAAGGCCGAGACAGCCAAAACGTGGGTAACGGCAAGGTCCAGGGTGTTTGCGGGAGTAGGGTTCTGTGGACACGTGGAGAAAAAGGTCCCTAAAGGCAGGAGACCCTGGGGGAAGGGCGAGGGGAGGGCGAGCAGCACTGCCGAACTTGACCCCTCCCAGCACGGGGTTGAGCCTGGAGCGGGTCAGCCCTGGAGAGCAGTTTCAGTAGGGCCATCCTCGCCGTACCCAGGTAGTTCTTCGTGGTTTGAGATCACTGTCAAGGGGCCCGATTTCCTCAAAGTTTCCAAATCCAGTGCTGGATCCGCCTGGACCCCCCTGTGGAAGAGGAAAGAAACAAAAATTAATCCCGAGAAAATGTGACTTCAATCTTAGTCATTACAGCAATGACCACATTCACTACAAACGAGGTATGATTTAGTGATGGCTGCGTCAACCCCGCACAAAGGCCCAAATGATCTGGTGAACCGGGGGCTTCTGCACTAACCGAGCCCCCTGGTGACGGCTGAGGTCTTTCTAAATGGAACAGGCCTGGGCCAAGAGCCCCCAGAAGGGACCTTCCTGCTGCTGATTCTCCAAACTTGAATCCTGGCCCGCCAGGAAGCTTCAGACCGCTTTGTCCAGCTCCTCCCTCAAAGACGAGCAATAAGGCCCAGGGATGTAGCAATTAGGGGCTCTCCCAGGACTGGACCTGGGGACTTGTGACTCTCCACCCTGGAATAAAAGAGTACTCCCATTCCCCACCTCCGCTTTCCAGATGCCCCTGTGTCAGCAGGAGATGCCCACCCCACCCCCAGCTCAGGGCAACGAGAAGCTGACTGGAGGATACTTCTCTTCCATTGGAGAACATCCTACTACACAATCTTTGTCTAGAGCTTTGGGATGGGTTGTTGTCATGGCCAGGGGCAGTCCAGTGACTCTGAAATATGTGTGTCAGTGAGCCAGCCGACATGCTGAGGTGGCTTCAAAATGTAGTTAAAATAGCTCACTACTCTAATCAGACTATGTGACCTGGATTCTCAAAGACCTGCCCAGAGAAGTCAGTGCATGTTTCCTCAGGAGACTGCTACAATACAATAGATCTCCCTTTAATCTAAATTAGTAATCGTTTCTTCCTTAATCATTATCTTTTTTCTTCTCTTTTGGGCCTCTGAGGAAATGAAGAGCAGGATAGTTAGTTAGCCAGTTCATAACTCCCCAATAGCATCTCAGCTCCCAAGGTTAACCTAACCGAAGGTCACAACCCAGACTATGAACCATGCAGAGAAATCAGGTGCCTGTCTGAAAACTGCCACTCAGCTTTGGGACAGCTGAGTTGTTACATCTCCTACATTGTTACATCTCCTGATTCTTGGCTATGTTGGCGAGTTACTCAAATAAAACAATGACCCTGCTCTGCAATGAACCACAAAGAAGGTTTGCTACTTCTACACCCAGTGCTTTTCAAATTAGATTCTTGGAAACCCAGGAAGTGCCTGGAGGCAGCGTGTGACCAAGGGGAGGTTGAATGGGTGGAACTTCATCCCTCCCTCAGCACTTCTGCTTTTGTTCCTAGGTAAGCTTTCACTTCAGGGTGGAAAAATTCTGCTAATTAATGAAAAGTTAAAGCAAAACCTCCTAGATTAGAAAGCCAAAACTCAGAAAAGGCAAGTATCGGCTCTCCCTGACAACCGACCATCCGGGCTACACACATGGGCTCTTGTTTTGTGGCATTTTCATATCTGCACCCTTGGCTGAGCCTCAGCTCCAGCTCATCAAAGGAGGTGCTCCGATTATCCTGAGAGAGGCTGCTCCTGACAAACTGCTCATCTTCGCTTTATCCCACCAGATGGGCCGCCTGACCCGAGGCACTGGGAGGCTGCTTATGATTTACTGACATTTTTGCAGGAAGTGAGATTTGCATCCCATGCCAACAGGTAGTAGGGCGCTCTATTTACTACTGAGCAACCTGGAGCCCCAGCTGGGCCAGGCCCACAGTTTCCAGAGGCTGAAGCAAGACCATGCTTCTCAACCCCTCCCTACTGATTGGTCTTCCAGGCGGGTGTGGACCATCTCTGCACAGATATTTTAGGAATGCAGGGAAGAATCCTCTGCCTGCTCCCAATACCTCTTAACCAGTTCCAAGCCTTCATCCTACAATCAGAGCTCAAGATCAGAAAGCAAACACATTAAAGGAGAAGGAGAAGGCCCAACACGTAAGACTAAGATACAAGAGGTTGAGTCCTTTCAAAAGATCAGTATTGGGGGGGGGGGGCAAGAAGTTAGGGTCTGGTAAAAGATTAGGGAAAGAAGAAGAGGAGGGACCAGTCAGGGTACCTTGGTCTTTACCTTGGAACCATTCAAAACACCTTCTATCAGTACATAGTCAAATCTGTCTTCAGGAGCTTCTGGTAAAGGTTCCTACCACTGAGTGGGCTCAATAAAACAAACTGGTAAAAGGCGAGAACCCCTCATTCTCTGATTTGCCCTCTTTAGTATACACTGCCTTTGCCTGCTTCAGAAGGATGCTGCACTCCCAAGCCTTAGCAGACCCCCACGGGCTACTGGACCACATCAGTCCTTCATCACTGGCTGAGCTGCGAGCCCTAAGGAGCAAGCGACATGTTTAGTGAGGGAATCTTGGCCTCAAACCTGGCCAAGAAATGAAGCCACTTTTACCTGAAGCCACATAACCAGGGGCAGTTCTGAGTAGTTCTTGCAGGGGCTGGTGGTATAATAGAGCCACCAGAACATGTGGGCATCCTTCCGGACAGTCACATAATCCCATACTTCTTTGCCCTCATCTGGGGGCAGGTCGCAAATGGCTCCTGCAACAGAAGCACAATTTGATTTTCCCGAAGGATGTCTCATGTCTGGATAAATTCCAGGTCCATTAGAGGTGGCCATGCCAGGCTAGAGATGATTTGGTTTATATTTGAGGAAACTGACTCACTCCACTATATTGTGAAAATAAGGAAAAAACCTCAATTATGAAAAAAAAACACAAACCAAACTTAACAGGAGGCTGGAGTCTTCTACTTTTTCCGCTATACCCTCTGTAATGTTTGGACTTTTAATAATAAGCATAAAACACTTCCATAATTCTGTTGTTTTTTTTTTAAAGAGATTTACATTTTTGGGGAAGAGGAAAATCTCAAAAACCAACATGCTGCTTTTCATTTAAAGACACATCACAAATTAGTGCGGCTAAGATGAGATGCTATATTATGAGCAACTGTTAACTATTTTTAAGGAAAAAAATAAAATTGTAGGTCTTCTCTCAACACAACAAACCAATACAAATTTGAAGTGAATCAAGTAGTTCAATTTTATTTATTTTTTAAAAAGTTTATATTTCTTGATTTTGGAGGGAGGGAAGGAGGGAAAGAGTGGAGGAGAAAGAGAGGGTAACATCGATCAGTTGTTCCACTTATTTATGCATTCACTGGTTGCTTCTTGTATATACTCTGACCGGGGATGGAACCCACAACTCTGGCATATCGGGACGATGCTCTAACCTGGCCAGGGCAAGTATCTCAATTTTAAATATTAAAAATAATATTAAAATATAGTAGAACTTTTCTTCTGACCTTTACATGGGAAAATGATTTAAAAGAAATCATTTATAAATAGAAGAGAGACTATAAAGAATAGTATCAACAGAGTGGAGGACAGAAACATTACATTTCTGTATGACACAATTTCTGTACATCAAAAATAAAATGAAAAAGCAAACAACAAAGAAAGATCTGCACCCTGGCCGGTGTGGCTCAGTGGACTGAGTGCTGGCCTGTGAACCAAAGGTCGCTGGTTTGATTCCCAGTCAGGGCACATGCCTGGGTTGTGGGTCAGGTCCTCAGTAGGGGGCACACGAGTGGCAACCGTACACTGATATTTTTCTCCCTCTTTCCCTCCCTTCACTTCTGTCTAAAAACAAAGAAATAAAATCTTTAAAAAAAAGAGAGATCTGTGACAAATATGAAAATGGGTAATTTTTCTCATTCTCATAGATCAATTTAAAAATAAAAGATCCTAATAGTTAAATGGATGAAGTCCACAGAAAGTAACTTATGAAAAGAGAATATGAATGTTTGATAAATATGTGAAAGCATGGTTAACTTCACTAATATTCAAAGACATGAAAATTAAGGCAATAATGAGGTCACAAAAAAAAAAATCTTTGCTTATTGATAGACCAAAAAAATGACAGCTCTTGCTCAATGTCCACAAGGAGGCAGGAGACTGGCCTTCAGTACTGTTAGCAAGAATGCACACTGGCATAACTTTTTGGCAGAGCAATTTGGCAAAAAGAAAACAAAACGAAACGAAAAAACCAAAAGCTCTGTGTGTGTGTGTGCCCTTTAATCCCACAACTCCAATTTCTTTAATTAACTTTTTTAGCACCTGCAAAATACCTATCAGAAAAGAGTACGTCAAATACCTTCTCTATGTCACCTTTGCTAACACCTTTCAAGTTATGGTATCTTTTTTTTTTTTAAACACTACTCTAGGGGAAAAGGACTGATGTTAAAAGGTGAGTTAGGAATTACCCTTGGTGACTGAATTTTCTTTTTGCTTCCTCCTTTCTTAAATTTTAAGCCTCTGCAGCAAGTAAAAGAACAAAAAACTGGTCTCAAGAAGAGAAGGGAGTAGATGAAGAGGCTATGTTAATTGTGATTGATAAGGGTGGAGATCAAAAAACTAAAAGTGGCTTGAGGAGAAAAACAGAGCTGCTAGAAAATAAATGTGGCTATAAGAGTCTATATTCATATAACCCAAAAGTACAGTCTCCTTGAAAATGACAGATAAGGTTCTGGTCCCTTTTGACCTTATCCATGGCACTCCTCTCTTCCCTGGCAGCGACCACTGTTAAAATTTGGTGGCAACATATTTGACACCTTTTCCTAAACACAAACTGAGGGGCATAGGACCTCCAATTTACAAAAGAGGAAAACCAATTATTAAGCAACCTGCCTAAGATCATAAGGCAAGTTTGTGGCCGGTTTTAATTCTCAGTTGATTCAGAACAGGAAGCATTTTGCTGGGGGTGGGGGTGGGGAGACTGAAAATCAATTTGCAAATCACTTTTTAGACACGAATTCGTTTTTGCAAAAAAAAAAAAAAAAAAAGCCTCGGTGAGGGGAGACATTATAGTGTATGTTCTGATCAAGTAGGGGGGAAAGGCCTTATCTCAGTGAAACATCCCATTCGTGGTAGCATTTTTCAGGGCTTCCGTGTTTCATTTTAAAATATAAAGGCCTCCTAATTCCACTTTGCAGCCTATGACGGCAGCAGAAGGGAGGCTGGTGGCCTTATTAAGACCGTGGAAACCTCACTGATCAGCAGTTTCTCCGAATCATACATTTTGCACAACTGCTTCTGCCTAAGTGTAGAAGAAGCACCCTTCTGCCTAAGGAAGAAGGGAGCATCAGACCACCCAGAAATTAAAAAAAAAAGGGGGGGGTTAGAAAAAGCACTTTCACTTAAAAAAAACAAAATAACAACAAAAAAACCCAGTGAGGTTCAAAACCACAGAGGAAAAGATATTTCCTTTAAAAAACACAAACGCACTAACAGACTGTCAGCCCTGGAGGCACTGGTCACTCATATATAAACCTTTTGCCCAAACCTACCGGTCCTGAAGCCCAGAAGCAGCAGCAGAAGCACGGGCACAAGAAACAACCGCGGCGCTAGCTCCATGACGAACACCGCGCTGCAGCATCAGCAACAGGCTGGAGGCAGAGCCCTACCACGTGACCGCGGCAGGCGGAGCTTGGAGTGGACCGAGGGCGGGGCGGAGCCTGCCTATCTGGGGGCGGGGCGAATTGGGCGGGGCCTGGTTGGCCTGGGGCGGGATGGAGGCGGGGCCTGCGCGGTGAGGCGACTGGCGATGCCAGCGGCGCTCTCTGCCGGCCAGGTCGACCAAGACCCCTGCAACGACTGGGAGGAGAGAGGAGGTGGTTTTGCCTGCCCCACCACGTCTTTCCTTGTCGTTTTGGGGACAGAATAGGGAGGAAGAGACGTTTAATGCATTTGAGTTCAGTTTTGTGACAGGACTGGGACGCCACAGAGAAATAACCACGAGGACCGTCCTTCCTGCACTGCCCATCTCCTCCTTCCTCAACAAAAGGCCCAGTATTTCAAAAACTGCTGTGTCTGCCCCAAATTAGGTGAAGCCTGGACCAGCTAGCTGGTCCTTGAAAACTGTGAGATTCCACTTTCAGAGATTTTAAAAATCATTTTTCTTATAAAGTTTCGTATATTATGGGCATTTAGGAAATTTGAGAAAAATGTTAGATCCTGAATAACCATTGTTTACATTTGGGATTTTTTTCTCTCTAGTCTTTTACTTCATCTTTTTGAATACAATAATACAAGTTTCTGTTTCTATCCCCTTGCTAATTTGTCATCAACATTATTCTATGTTGTTAACATTATCTTCACAACAGTTATTTTATTTATCATATTTTTTGAGATCAAATAAGATTTTAGTGCAGTATATTCTGCTCAAAAAATTAACAAATGTTTTCCATTGTTTCTCTGAAATATGCAACATTACATTTTCTTACATAATACTGTAAATTTCAGTGCAAAGGCCGCTAACCCAGAGGCACTGTTGACCTGGCTTTGGGCAAAGAGCACCTGTTAAACTGCTTGAATTAAATATCAAAACAAAATGATCCATTTTGGTTGAGAACAATGGGACTCCAAAAAGATGTTAGATTCCTAACATCTCAGATTGAAGAAAGGGCTGAGATGCTATTCTTCACAAACTGTTTCATCCAAGTTGCTTCCCTTTGGAGAACTAAGAAAACACTACATTCCATATTGTATCCTTTTTGAGAATTCTATAAAACTTAGGTTTGACATAATAGCATAAGGGTATATGTTACAGAGAATTAAAACCCTTAAAAAGGAGACCACCACCACACAAAATGTCTAAACAGTGCCCAAGGTGAGGGTTTCAAATGGCATCATTTCCTTTCCTGCTGCTTGGAACACTGCAGCAATTGCTGCCCTTGGCAAGATTCCTGCAGTAATTGGTCCCAGGATGCCCATCAACAGGATGCTTACAGACATGAACGTACCACACTTGTGACGCCTGAGGGTGAAGAGGGTCAGTAATCCAGCTGGGACATAAAATAAGAGAGAAGACACCAGCGCCTACCAGAACACTCCACAGCATGTCTCTGGGAAGGAGCAGAAAGAAGTGGAGTTGGGGCGAAACGTTCCATTGCCCACGGAGCCTGAGCTTCAGGCTGAGCATCTGCTGCAGGAGCCTGGCCGACCCCCGCTGCTACTGCTCCCCTTGTGTTCTGCTCTCTCCTTCACATGAGTCATTTTAAAGAGGGTATTGGGGGTTTTGGAAGGGGAGGAGAGAAAAAGGATGACAGAGGTGTTTTGTGTGTGTGTCTAAAGGTCAGGTTTATCTTAGGGTGTACTGAATAACTCGTCTCACAGAGCTAGGAAATAGGAATATGCAGGGGCTATATATGATAGACAGGTTATACAAGGGTCGACCCCCCCGACAAAAAAACTGGAATTTACTTATAAAAAATTGTGTATTTAGTCTTACATGTTTAAACTTCTGTCACCGCCAAAGTACTCTCTCCATTTGATACAACACACCTATAGAGGTGTTTTTACACTGCTCAAAACAGTTTTTAAACTTTGTCTATTTTGATGACTTTTAGTGCTTCTAGTGTTTTTTGTTTCACCTCTTCCACATTGGCAAAACATTTCCTTTTGAAGACTTTTTTTCATTTGGGAAAACAAAAGAAATGTAACTTAAGGTGAGGTCAGGTCAATAGGGAAGGTGGGGCATAGGGGTCAGGCCGTTTTTTGGTTAAAAACTGCTGAACACTCAGCACGGTGTAGGTAGGTGCACTCGTAAATCATCCATCATGAAATGGGCAAGTGAGTTGAAAGAGTCTTCAAAAAAAAAAAAAAATTCACTGAAGCTGAATGTAGCTTCTCACAACAATGCCAGCAGATACACTGATATATATGGGTTCCTAGAACACTCACCTAGCAGGGGAAGCCCATAATAATATAAAGGGCCCAGCCTCCAGAAGGTAATTCCAGGTACTTTTTCGTTCCCCTTCATAGTTCTAAATATTGAATACTATTTCAAAAGTGCATGATGATCCCTGGCCAGGTGGCTCAGTTGGTTGGAGCATTGTCCCATACACCAAAAGGTTCTAGATTTGATCCCTGATAGGGCATGTAGGGGAGGCAACCTAACAATGTTTCTCTCTCACATCAATGTTTCTCTCTCTCTCCCTCCCTTTCCTCTCTCTCCCCCACTTCTTCTGTCTTTAAAATCAATAATAAAAGAAAGAATTCATGATGAAAACCACGAAACAGAAAAACAAAATACATGCGACAAGGCCTCTACCTTTTCTGCTCCCCTCCGTAACCCTCCCCCCGACTCCAGCCCCTCATAAATGGACAGATGTTTTTATCTGAAGCCTTGTGAAATGGCAGAGTCCTGCAAGTGAAGGAGCGGGCGCTGAGATTTGGCTTAGAGAAAGAAATAGGTAACCAGCTTAACTTGGGTGGTCCACAATGCATAAAATACCGTAAAGTGCATAAAGTGTATACTACTCCATCTATTTTCTAAGCCAATATGATTTCCAGGGTGGAAGTGTTTGACCACATAAGCAAAGGCTAAGTTAAGGAACCTCCCAAACGTTCTTGTAATACTAGAATCATAAACAATGAACATATATATATAGGTGTTGATAAGTATGGTGTGTGACAATCTGTAAATGCCCTGTAATCTGCGTTATAATTTAGCCTTCAACACTAGATAGTCTTTCATTAGGGCAAAGACTAAATTTCCCTTTTTCATTACAACTTATAACCATGGGACCTAAACCAAACACACACACACACACACACACACACATGCCCACACCTGGAAAACAGGTAAAAGCTGATTATTCTAAGAGCAAAGTTCCTCTTAAAGATTGGAATGATCTTTGTTTAAGAAAAATACCTTATTGATTCCTTGCGATTAGGAGACGGAAGCTGAGCGTATAGAGCATTGGCTAAGGTGGCAAAATTGTTAAACTGAACTACACAGGACTATGAGAGAATTTGTTTTGTTCCTGGGAAAGGAAAGAATGTAGATAGATGAAAAGAAGGGGCAAGCACTGTGTAGGGAGAAAGGCTGGCTAAAGAGAGCCAAAGCTGAAGAGCCAGTGGAAATTTCCCTGATGAGGGAGTGGCTATAGGATATTAAAAGGTGATGCTTGTGGTTTAATTTGAACCAGCTTGTGTTTCTGTGATGTAAACCTGTCCTCTTAGGGGCAGGTCAAAAATATAACGGCTTTAGGGAAGGCAATAGAATTGGAAGAAAGGTATCGGGAACTCCTCTCAAAACTGTACTTGTAAAAATTATTATTTTTTTAAATTTTATGGGTTTTCTTTTTGTGGAGGGGAAGGATTTGAAAAACTGATGGAGGTTGGTTGGGGGCTTGTTAAAGGCCCTTCCAGTGAATTCTGGGTGCAGGTGATTGGCGTCACATAGCTGTCTTCTCTGTGTGTGTCTTCACATTGCTCTCCCTCTGTGTGTGCCTTTCTTTGTGCACTCGCATGTGCTTTTTCACCTTCACAGGACATTCTCACACCTTTCCCCCACTTGCAGCAGACTGTTTCCTGGTGAACCTGTCAGTTCACGTGCCCCTTCCCAGGGAAGCCTTCCGCACACTGCAGACCTGACTGCAAGGTATCAGCCACTTACTGGTGCAGTGACCTTGGGGAAGTTACTTCACCCTTCTGAATTTTTTTCTTTTTAATCTTCAGAATGGGAATAAGAATGGTTCATAGTTCCTATCTTTGTCATGAAAACGAAAGGAGTTAATGTGTGAGAGAATGGAGTGGAAATTCGAATGATGTAAATTTTGTGATTTAGAGGTTAATAAGAGGGCTTATTTTTATATTTTAATGTAGACAATGGCAGGTTTAAACTGCTAAGGTATTTATATTCTGCTGGATACATTTAAGAGAGTGACTAATTTTTTTAACGTTAATATTTATAATTCAGTAGGGATGACATCTTTTACAGCTCTTTATGAGGAGAAATTCTGTCAACTAAATACATCGGGAGTTTTTCAAAAGTTCTTTTGCGTATACAAGCTAATATCTTAGAAGTCAACTGCTGAGAATTGCTGTCACAGAGTTTACCCAGAGAGTTGCCTAAATTCGCACCCTACATAGTGCTCAGTGGGAAAGAAGTAAAGGGATTTTATTTATACGTCCTTTTCCCTAGCTCTGTCGTGAACACAATTAATCAACCCGTCTCCGCCTCGCCATTCACGAAGCCTGTAGTAGCCACTTGTCACCAATAGGTGGCACTCATTAAAAGGCTCCAGTGGGTGGGCCGTCTGACCACGCCTCTCAGAAGCGCTGTGATGTCTCTCGGCTTCCGTAGAGCATCGAGCAAGATGGCAGCCTCCGAGGCTGTTAGGCTACGGCTTCAATTTGATTATCCGCCGCCAGCCACCCCGCACTGCACGGACTTTTGGCTTCTGGTCGACTTGAACAGATGTCGAGTAGTTACGGATCTCATTAGTCTCATCCGCCAGCGCTTCGGCTTCAGTTCCGGGGCTCCCCTCGGCCTTTACTTGGAGGGGGGGCTTTTGCCCCACGGCGAGAGCGCGCGTCTGGTTCGAGACAACGATTGCCTCACGTACGTGGGGAGCGGGCGTGGGGCGTGGGGCGTGAGGGGTGGCGGGGTGGCGGTGGGCCGGGGATGCGCCTGCGTACACCCGGGGTGTGCCTCAGGCCCCCGGAGACCGCGAGTGGGTGGGGCTCTCAAACTGCATGCTCCTTACCCGAGGAGATTCTAATTAGTCAGCTGTGAGGTTCAGGAATCTGTATTGTAACGGCCATCCTTCCCCGGGTGCTCTTGATGTAGGTGGTGAGCGGAGCAAACTTGGAAAACCCTGATTTTCGTGTGTGGGCAGGGCCCAAGTTTCATTCATCTTTGATCTAGCGAGAGCTCATTTAGCCTGGCACTGTGTTCCGTGTGCACGATGCAGACGTGCCTGAGACCTGGCGATCCCCTGGCCGCACGCAGGGTCGGGTGCGAGAGGTCGAAGCAAACGGAGGAACAGTCCTGTTCTCGTGACGTTGCAGCTCGTCCAGCCTCAGTGCCCTGGCGATATCCCCTGAGACTTCTGATGGGTGTCATTCTGCGTCTCACCTGGGCGTTTTGTGGTTCCCTTACAAATAGATGTTTGAGACCTTAGGATTGTGAATTGGGAAACAACAGTTTTAAATATGCCTTTGGAAATTTTTAAAAAAAGATAACTGCAATGAGTATCGAGGAGCAATTTTGGTATAAATTGCCCATGTGTGATTGATTTGTCTCAGTAAAAAGGATTCGTATCTTGTACTGATTTATTCAGGGCTTTTTAAAATCGTCACCCGAGGATATATTTATTGATTTTAGAGGGACAGGAAGGGAGAGAGAGACAGAAAGTTAGAAGGGTGTCGATGTGAGAGAGAAGCATAAATCAGTGTTCTCCTTTGTGCGCCCTGATGGAGGATGTCGAACGCACAACCTAGGTATGTGCCAGACCGGGAATTCAACCCCAAACCTTTTAATGCACCCGAGGACGCCTCAACCAAGTGAGCCACCCGGCCAGGGCTCAGGGCTTCTTTTTAAAGCTTTAGCTGCATTGAAATAACTCTAGAATTGTGAACCAGGCTACTTCTTCTTGCTTGTCCTTTGTTGAATATTCTTTTCCCCAGAGCATGTCAGAGTCATAAGATTTCTCTAAAACATCAGGGAATTTAACTTGGGACAATTACTCTATGTTGGAGTGTGTGTTGTGTATGTCTCAAAATCAGGAACACTAAAATTTATTAATGTTTTGTCATTTCTAACGACAATTTGAAATAGTCCAAATTCTTTTTCCTTTCTATTCGCTGTGAAATAGATTTTTCTTTGCAATTCAGAGACAATTTAAATAGTATTAGAGTTGTAAGAACTGAATCCTCTTTTATTAAGTTTACTTTGGTAACTATCCCCTGCCTAATGAATAAATAACTTGCTCCTAACTGACCACAGTTTTATTTCAATTAATGAGGCCTCTGGGAATTATGCTTTTTTTTTTTTTTAAGTGTCAAAAGCAAGCCACAAAAGGTGTGATAAGAAATAAATACAGTACAACGGCAGGCAGAATTCGCCCTAAATGCTTCAAATGCACAAACTCATACAGTAAACACCTCTGCAGCTGGCTTCATTTGTAAATGGGGCAGACCTTAGGGGAAAAAAATGAATTTGGATAAGTTCTGTTACATTTCTGTAGTTTCACGTCTGCACTCATTCTCTGTCTTCCCCCGACTCACTTTTCTTCAGAGCTACAGAAGGAAACATAGCCTCTTTTTTCAAAGGTACTTAATATTGTTGGAGGGGACTAAAACAACTGGTTTCATGGTTCTGTATATTAGCCTTGTGTGTGATGCAGGCAGTAGGGCTGGATAATTATATTACGCTGTGCTGCTCAGTGTGAAGGGTGGTTCAGGAAGGAGAGATCTTTGGGGAATACAATGGTCAGGGAATTTAAAAGTATCTTGAAGGATGGGTAGGAAATGTTGGATGGCCCCGTACAGTTGAGACAAAAACTAGCCTGACTTGGTAAAGACAGGAGTCTGACCGGCAGTAGGATTCTGCTGGGAGCGCTGGGAGCGCTGGGAGCAGCCTAATGAAGGGTGGAGCCAGGCTGCGGGAATCCTGAGACACAGCCCTAGAGGCTCCAGAGGCATTTTCTAGCTGTAACCAGGTGCGTCCAACCTTTTGGCGTCTCTGGGCCTCACATTAAATACATTGCGACGCGTAATCACACACACAAAAAAATCGCATCATGTTTTAAGCAAATTTACGAGTTTATGTTGGGCCGCATTCACAGCCATCCTGGGCCGCACGCTGCGCAGGCTACAGCTGGACACAGGGCTTACAGTAGGCCACGGCCCTTTCTGCACAGCCCACTCTTTTAAGCCCCCCGAACCTGACTTCCTCTCCTCCCAGGCTTCTGGCAGTGAGCTCATTGATTATCTCATTGAATACTATAATTAGGATCATGAGCCCCATTTTTACAGATAAGAAAGTTTGGGGCAATGATAGTGGCAGAAGGATTTGAATCCAGACAATCACTTTGGCCTTGGCAGGCAGTGAGTGGAGGGTGTCAGGCAGCGCAGATGGGCACATCTTTGCTTTTTTATGGTAGAATCCTAGAAGTGAAATTGCAGATTTAAAGGGAATGCCTTGCATTTTTCTTTTCCTTTTCTTTTTTTTTTTAAGGTTTTATTTGTTTAGTTTTAGAAAGAAGGGAGAAAGGTAGAAAGTGAGGGAGAGAAACATTGATTGGTTGCCTCTTTCACACCCCCAACCGGGCACTTGCCTTGCAACCCATCGAACCGAACCGGTGATGATGCCCAATCCGCTGAACCATACCAGTAGGGTGGGAATACCTTGCATTTTGATACTACTACCCAGTTTGCCCTGCAAAGAGTTTGAATGAACAGTGGACGTTCTGTTCTAAAAATTCCTTGGAATCAAATCTCTTCCATCACTAATACAAAGTAATTCATTTCTCATTATAAAAGGACAGTTATATCTGTTACCTGATCCAGGTGGAGAAACGAACACTTCCAGAGAAAGTGTCAACCCTGAAAGGAATGGTAACTAAGCAGACCCAGGTGAACCATTTCTTATTCTCCAGATGGCATTTTGTCTCTCAGTCTCAGCATGCTCCTTACCGAAATTCTTCTCTTCAGGAATAGCAGGTGTGAGGCTGCAGTGATCACAAGTTGTACTTTCATGCCAAGTGTGCACAGATCCATTGTCTTCAGAGTGAGCAACATGATGCCAAGAGCTGTTTTGAAAGCACAAAGGGGTTGCCAGCTCCTCGAAAAGGCAGGGGTCCTGCGTATACTAGACGTGGCATGTGCTGTGCTCCAGTGATTTTAATAAACCACAGTGACGGAAAGTCTCGCAGCCGTTTTCAAAGTTGATGGAAAGTTTGGTTCTTGGTTGTCTCAGAATTGAAACTTGAATCAAAACAAACTGATCAAGAATAACAAGGACCAATCAGATGTGCGGAAGGTTCCCCAGTAGTTCTTAGAATCACAGGATGCCAAGCGAGCTTTTGCCAGTTTAAGGAATGCTTCCTTGCTGCTTGCTGCTGACTTTTACAGCTGGGAACAGGGGATAAAATACTTAGGTAATTTAAATCCCTGGTTTTTCGGAGTCCTATTTCTCTGTTTATCCTATTCATGATATCACATGATATCAGTAGCTTGTACCTTGAGTTGTATGTATCAATTAGCTTGAGGATAATTGAGGATTTTTTTCAACTACATTGAGATAAATCCACAGGATTACTATATCTTAAAAAAAAAGTATAGAATGTTTATAATATGTCTTATTATTCATCAAGTGTACTTTATTTTAAAATATGATTGTTTGCATCTTTCCCTGATCACTAAAAAAAACCTTGATGGAATATATAGCTAGATGTAAATGTATTGACGTTATGATATGTGTTTTTAGCAGACATTTTTGAGCACCTACTATGAACTTAACATTGGGGACACTCAGCTCTCCATCACTGGGCTGCACATACTAGACTTAACTGTTTTCCAATTAGTGAAGGACCAGAATTCCTTTCCTAGAGTGAAATGATTTTTGATGGGTACATTAGGGTTCTCCAGAGAAACAGAAGCCAATAGGAGATGATATAGACTTAGATACATAAATATAGATACGAGATTTATTATAAGGAATTGGCTCAATTTACAGAGGCCGAGAGGTCCCAAGATGTGAAGTTAGCAAGCTGGAGACCTAGGAAAGCGAATGATGTAGTTCCTGTCCAAGTTCAAAGGCCTGAGAACCAGAAGAGTTGACAATGTAGTTTGAGTCCTAAGGCAGGAGAAGTCCTGTGTTATAGCTCAAAGATGCTTGGGCAGAGAGAGCGAATTCTCCCTTGGTCAGCCTTTTATTCTATTCAGGCCTTCAGTGGATTGCGTGAGGCCCACTCACTTTGGGAATGGCATTGTGCTGTGCTCAGTTTACTGATTCAAACGTTAGTCTCACACAGAAACTCCCTCACGGATACACCCAGGACAGTGTTGAACCAAATGTCTGGGCATCCCGTGGCCCAGTTGACATACAATTAATAATCATAAAATGTCATGGAATTTTACAATAACACTCACTAGCCCAGAGAAGATAAATTGTTCAGTGTGTTCCCATATTTAAACAATAAAAGAAAAGTCTGATTTTAAAAAAGCAGTCCACATTTAAAAACAGAATGGATACTTGGCATTATCACTGTTTGGGATTGGCAACATAATAGAGTGGAACGATTGTGAAGTTAGACAAACTGAGGTTTGAATCCCAGTTCTGCTACTTATTAGATATGGATCTTGGGCAGCTTACTTGTCTGCACTGTAATTTTGTGATTTGTTTTAAAATGAAAGATACCCATTTCATGGTGGTGTTTAGAGGAAATGTAAAGAAAATATTTGGGTCATAGTAGATACTCAATAAATAAAATCAGTCACTTGAAAGTTGACCGTAAGGGTTGCCATATAAGCCATTTTGTCCAAGCGAGTCTTTGGGTCCTTAAATGATTTGATATTTTTTCATTGGCAGACAGCAGTGACAGTTTGCGGTCATCTCAGTATATATGACGATGTCCTGGAGATGTAGTTACTCACTAGTTTTCTCTCTTGTTCTTTTGATAGAGTAAAATTAGAAGAGAGAGAAGTCGCTGAGAATCCTGTAATAGTCAGTAACGGTGATGGTACTCATTTCTTACCTAGAAAAGCAAAGAAGCGGTCATTTAAGTTGGAAGAGGATGAAGAAACTGATTATAGAAATTCAAAGAAGCATTGGAAGAGGCAAGAGAACAACAACAACGAGAACACCTTGGATTTAGAACCAAAAGCTGTCACAGATCAGAGTGTGAAGAAAAGAAACAAGAGGAAAAACAAAGTCACATGTGATGCAGTAGATGATGATGATGCTGATGATGGTGAAGAGACCAAAAAAAAATCACCAAAGAAAAAGGAGAAATGTGTATATAGAAAACAGACAAAGAATCCCAAGTTTTCTAAAGCACAGACAGTGAAAGAGTGGACTGTCCAGAAGCATAGTCCTCCAAAGGGCTCTCCTGCTAGAAACAGCCTAGTTAACGCCAAAAGGAAAGGCGGCGTGGACGTTCATGCAAAAGATAGTCCCAGTTCCTCCTCAGAGTCTGAGTCTGGTCATGAATCAACCAGCGATGGTCTCAGCAATGTCATCTTGGAGGTCAGAAAGTCCTCAGAGAAAATATCAACTGCATTATCAAAGGAAGGGTCCTCTATAAAAAACACGACTGCAAACAAAGCAGCCACAAAAACTAGCTTTAACTCTATCCCCATCGAGGACAAGACAGCCAGAACATCATCTTCTAGTTCAGACTCTAGCTCAGAGTCAGATGACGAATGCGTGATGCCAAAGAGCCCGCTGAACAAGGCTGCGAGCCTCTTAAAGGCAGTAGGCCTGTTTGCAGGAAGAGGTTGTCCAGGTCCGGGGCCGTCGTTACAGACTCCAGATGCTACGGGATGGAAGCACAGTGACTCAAACAGCAGCAGACAGGCTCCTGGTCCTCCTCCCAATGTGACTCTCCCTGCCAGTTTGGGAAGAGGGTGGGGTAGAGGAGAGGACCTTCTTTCTCATAAGGGAGTGAGGGGTCGGGGCATGCGGGGGAGAGGTCGGGGACGAGGGCTTGCTCTTCCCTCTGTTTTAAATAGAAATGCTGAATGTCCGAAGCAGCAGCATTTAAATGACGTGCTAACAAACGCATCTACTATTATCCAGGCAAGTAGTCTTTATCGTGAGTTTACCACTTCCCCTTTCCCCACGTAGTGTGGCTGGAGTCGATGTCATGTTTTCTTACCAGTAAAAAGTCACATGACTAATATATATTGTTTTTCAGAATCCAGTAGAGACACATAAGAAGGACTATAGTCTGTTACCATTGTTAGCAGCTGCCCCCCAAGTTGGAGAAAAGATTGCATTTAAGGTATATTTTAAAACAACAACAATTGCAACATAAAGATTATCACCCCTCCAAATAAACTTACTCATTAGCAGTATATACACACATATGTGTGTATGTATATAGACATATCTGTGTGTATATATGTGTGTACACATGTATGCACACCCCCCCTTCCTGCCCAGATCATATCTTTCATGTTCTTATACCTACCATATAGTAGGTGCCTAGTAATTGTTTTCTAAATTAATAAAAAAGGCGTAGCCTGGTGTCTGGAACATAGCAAGTGCTCAATAAAAGAAAGCTATGCATTTCACTCCCCACTCCTGCAACCTCATTTTAAAATATGATTGTTTGCATCTTTCCCTGATCACTAAAAAAAACCTTGATGGAATATATAGCTAGATGTAAATGTATTGAAGTTATGATATGTGTTTTTAGCAGACATTTTTGAGCACCCACTATGTACTTGACATTGGGGACACTCAGCTCTCCATCACTGGGCTGCACATACTAGACTTAACTGTTTCCAATTAGTGAAGGACCAGAATTCCTTTCCTAGTGCGAAATGAGGGGCAACCCTGGCCCGGAACCCCATTTGAGCTGCAGGTTCATGGTCAGGCCCTGCATGGTTCCTTAGAGACAGAGAGGACAGGAGCCACAGGACTTGTATATTCGTGGACTTTTTCTTTTCTTTCTTTTAGCTTTTGGAACTAACATCTGATTATTCTCCTGATGTCTCTGACTACAAGGTAAGACTTTTTATTTAAAAATAATTGTGAGGCTGTCGCTGGTGTGGCTCAGTGGATTGAGTGTCAACCTGCGAACCGAAAGGCCGCCAGCTCGATTCCTGCTCAGGGCACGTGCCAGGGTTGCCCGCAGGCCCCTAATGGGGTTTTGCGTGGAGGCAACTGATCCAGGTTTCTCTCCTCTTTCTCCCTCCTTTCCACTCTCTTTAAAAATAGTCTTTAAAAAAAATAAAAATATAACTGACAGTACATTAAAGAAGCTAGAGTCATTTAATGCTGTTCTTATGGTTTAATATTGCTATTATGGATAATTCAGGTTTTTTGAGTAATTAATGTCATAAAGTAGGAAATGAAAACATTAGCAAACTTAAACTTTTTAATAGCATTAATGTGAAGTCTCCCAGTATTATTTTCCTTACATTTTGGAAGAATTTAGAATCAGAATGATGAATTTAATTTTTTTAACTCATTTTTTTCCTAATCAGTTAGACACACAGACTTATTTGCGTACCTTTCCCTCATAATCCTAAACTTTGAAAGAAAGTAATAAAAAGCTCTCAGCCAGAAAATTTGATTGCTTTCATCATAAGAATATATTTTATATATTTGTGAATTATTACAGGTTAGTAGAGTCTAATATGGTTTCTTTTCCATTATCAGTTAACCACATAATTCACAAATATTATCCTTGAAATTTAATCACTTAATATTTGTATGGAACTTCCTATTGGCATATGAGCTTTAGCACAGCTCAGTAAAAATTACTTAATCTGTGGAATTACAGAATTATGTGTTTCCTTATCTTTTTAACTCATTGAGCATTTTATTGACAACCTGGTTAAAATTCATATTTTTACATACATTTTGTACATTTCATACAAAATGTAAATGAATGTATATTCATTTTGGTGTAAAAGAATATACAGAATGTAAGTTCATTTTTTAAAGGTAATACTTGGTGATTTTAATACAGTATTAAAGATAAAGTACAAGGCTATTTTATTTAATCTGAGTTCATACCTTGGAAGACTTTCTCCAAGAGCAGGCTAGAAGAAAAGTCAGTTCACGAAGGGATTAGGTGGGTTGGCTCTGAGTATTTGGTGTTCTATTATATTTTTCATCCTCTTAGCCCCTTAATATAGATCACTGTATAATTTATCGTCTAAATCACAATACTTGCGATTGGAAAGGATTAATATTATATTGCTAATTATACTAAAATTAAATGTAAATGGACTTATTTGGGACAAATGAGGATGTTTTGTCATCTTATATAAAGAACTAATTTAGTTCTGTGATATATGAGGAAATAGAAATAAATATAGAATTTATACATCCCACAACCTCTGTAAACTCTGATTCTAGGTGATATTAATTTTTTAAAATTTACATTAAGGTGATGATGGTCATCATATCTATTACCTTGAAAAGCTATTTGCTTACTTATTTCCCAGTAGTTTTAGAACTTTTTTCAAATTGCTTTCAAAACCATTTTGGGACAGAACATTGGTCCCCCTTTTCTGCTTTGGCCACAAATGCCGTCGCCCTGCCGGATCGCTGGCTTCATTCCCTAAGCCTGCCTTCAAAAGTCCAGTCTCTCTTCAGAGGGTATAGTCTCGGCCCAGCTGACGCTGTCACATTTGTACACGTGGGATTTTAATTTATGGAGGTGACTGAGTGACGACACAAAGAAGCCAATGCTACTGACAGGAATTTACTACTTACATGTCCCGAGAGGAGGGGCAGTGCATCCGAGGAGAGCCCCGGGGGTGGTTGGGAGGCCACGCAGGAGTGAGGGGCAAGCCCGGGCCCGAGCCTTCGTTGGGGTCCCCTGGGGGTGGGCAAGGTAGGGTGCAGGAGACGGTTAGGACTGGCTGGTGTCAAGAATGAGCAGGCTTTGGTCTGCGGGGCCGCTCATAGCCGTGTGGGATCTGACCCTGGGGTGATTAAGATCAGGGCACATATTGGCTTGGTGTTTGGGACTTTCATTTCCCCTCTATGCTGATTTATTTTTTAAAAAACTTTTTATTGAGATAAAATTTACGTAACATAAAATTCACCATTTTAATGAATGTGAAGTGTTTAACTCAGTGGTTTTAGTATATGCATAATGTTCCGTGTGTTGGTTTTTGACTTCGACTTTTATTTTTGAAAGGAAGGAAAAATACTAAGCCACAATCCAGAGACCCAGCAAGTAGATATAGAAATTCTTTCATCCTTACCCGGTGAGTCTTCTAGAAAAGAGTTTCAGAATGTAGTCTTTTCATATCTGCGTTGGTTTCTAAATAGCTGTGCACACAGGAGCCGCTGTCTTCATCGGCCTCCGCAGTTCACTGGCACGCTGACTCCCTCTCAGCCTGGAGCGGCCGGGGCTCCACTGGTGGAGTAGTGTGTCTGCTCACAGTTACTGGGTTTGTTCCCAAAGCTGTTAGGCAACTTGTTCTTATTACTGTAATTATGTAAGTTCATACAAATTATATCAACTGATGAAAATTGACTTCAAAAAGAATTATTTGTATGAAACCTAAGTTGAATGCTGACTCAAGAGTGGGTTGCTAAAAACCTTGCCATACCATTCAGTTTTGTGTGGGTAGATGAGCTATCTAAGAGATTGGGAGGAATTTGGTAGAAATCGGGGAAGATTTTGTACTTAAATTGCCTTACTAGTGTTTGCATTTTTGTATCAGTTTAAAAAAACCTCAAAAACTGGAAATTGTGCAAATTGCAGACATGCATTAATGATATAATTTATAAAAAAGAGCTCTTTTCGGTGGATCCATAAGATCTATTCAGCTCTATTTCAAAAGATTAACAAATGAACATATTTTTGATGGGTAAGTCAAAATAAACTATCTAAAGTATTTGTGTATGCATACTCTTCACACATTATTCTGCCTTATCCCTGACGCACCCCACCGATTGCCGGTTCCGAAGTCCTGGGATGAGAGGGCTTTTACTGAACATGGCTTCACTTGGGCTGTGTTGTATGGGTCCCTGGCCAGAGACCAGGGGAGGGCTCCATTTCTTTAGCAGACCCTAAGGCAGTTAGTTTTTGTTTGTGTTTAAATAAGGTAGTGAGTAAAATAATCAAAACCACAGTACTCAGAAGTTAGTCAAAAGGATTTTTCAAAAGTTTACGATATTAAGTAAATGATTAGATGTAACCTACACTGGTTTTCCAGCTTTATTCTGATTAAGTCTTGTTTGGAGAGATCCTCTTTAGGAATGGTGGACAGAGAAATTTGTCCATAGTCACATTCCATGGACATGGCCTGATCACTATCCCTTGTCACATGATTGACAGTGATGACATCTAACTAGAACTTTTCTTCTTTGGTGCATCAAGGAATGGCTTTTTCTGTTTTCCAATAGAAATACAGGTAGTCCTTGCTTTGCATGGTTCTGATGTCCATGTATGTAAGTTACCATGGTTTAGCTAGATAACACCAGTTCCCCAGTGATATTGGGGATGTTAACTGAGAGTAACTGCATCAAGTACAGCCAGCTCTGTAGTCCACTCATCACTGCGTAATAACAGATGCCCATACCACACCACTTCTTTCAGAGTCTTGGTGATTGGTCACTGTGCTTCTATTACTCAGTTTAGTTCCCATCCACATAGCAAAGTATGTAGTTTTGTACGTCTGTGTCCCTCAGTGATACAGCCGCATGACATTTACAAAGTGAAATAGGGAATTGGTCAAGAAAAATGAAAAGACAACAAAGAAGCAAAATAGGGACATACAAATCAAGTTTAAGTGACATCATAGAAGACAGAGCTAACTATGGGCATGTTAATACCGAGTTTATACGGACTTCTTGACATAAATAAGGATAGCTGTGATGAAAGGGATGAGGGTGTCCCAGAAGTGATAGCAGCAAAAATTCCCAGGGTTATGAAAAAGAAACAGGCTCTCAGAGCTATTTCATGACATCAAAAGCCCCAAGGATAAAATATTGAAAGCTGATCCAAACTTAGAAATGAGTATGACAGTTCTGCCAGGCATAGAAAAGATTCTCTCTTTGCACTGTTTTTACCTGACAAGGCAAGTGCTGTTCAAACTGCCCCTGATAAGATTTTTACAAAGAAATAGGACACTTCAGTTCTCGGTGTTTCTAATGTTTTAAATTGTGGTGTGCTTCATAAGTACTAGTTTTACTTCTTCTCATTTCTTATACAGTAAAGGTTTTAATGTTTTGTTAAAAAGTTTTGAATGATCGTGAAACAATCATAATTTTTCCCATTGATTATTAAGATTGTTTTGCGTGACTTCAGCTTACATGGTGGTCATTTTTATGGTCCACACTACTGTGCAAAGTAAAAACTGCTGTATTACCAAGCAGTACGCATGTGTAGTTTCTGAGGACAAAACAAGATGTGAGAATTTTGCAGAATTCAGATTACCTTCCCTTGTTGAAACATATCAATTGTCTTTTAGGATTGTGTTGTGGTTATACATTCTTTTCTGGGATAGGGATAGTGTATGAAGCTCATTTCTTTTTGATGAAGGAAAGATCGTCTCTGATAAATGGCTGAGGAGCTCGCGTCTGCTGGTGCGGGGTTTTTCAGGGTCTCCTGTCACGGAGCACTCCGTGCTTGCGCGTGTGTACCCAGCCTCCCTGTCAATGCACTGTTTGTTTGTGGTGGTTTTTCCAATGACCCAAATTCCCCACAGAGGAACGTTTTCATTACCGGGAAATGACTTACTGCCTTTCTTCCCTACTGCCTGATTTCAGCCATGAAGGAACCTGGGAAATTTGATTTGGTTTATCACAATGAAAATGGAACTGAGGTGGTGGAGTATGCTGTGACGCAGGAGAAGAGGGTAGGTGCGCTTCTCTTCTGGGCGTTGCTGAGTCATTTGTTCTGTGCGACTGGATCCTGGTGGTCTGCCTGGACGGTGACATTGCAGCTTCCTGAGCTGCCTGCGTTAAAATCATGAAGGGGGTGTCTGTCCTGCCTGCAGGGTGGCATATCAGTGCCAAGTGTCAAGTTAGGGCACCACCTTGTAGGCTTAAAGAGCCTACATGACAAGATGCACAGATAATACACTCTTAGAGTCTAGAGTTGCATAAAATCATGGTATGTAAGATTATGTAAGGGTTTCAGCAGAAAAGTCAAACATATTTGAAAAGCTTTTTATTGACATACAGATTCAGAAGAGTACACGTAAGTATAGCTTGAACGATTTTCACAAATGAACATACTCATGTAATCAGGACCCAGATCAAGAACATTAACATCCTCTTCTGGAAATCTCTCGTCTCCTTGTAGTCACTGCTGACCCTCCGATGTTACCATGATTCTGACTTAAAATAGCATGGATAATTTGAAGAATGGCATAAAATGATGATTCTGTCTTTTGACTGTTTAAATTCTTGAATTGCTGTTTTACAAAGTTGATGTTTCAGAGCTTTGTAGGCAGCCACACTAGTTGCTGGTAATGGGCAGCTCATTAGGCTGTGCTACCATTGAAGAAAATAGACTTTATATGTAAGAAAAGGCTTCCTATTAAGGTGTTTATATTTGAAATGTTATGGATATTATCCTATAAGTTTCAGTACTGCAGATTCACATTTTATCTGAAATGTAGAAACCCTAACCTGACCTTTTGCTTTGATTTGTCTCTAAGATAGATGATCCTCTTAGAGATTTACTCCAAAAACACATTTTTAGGGTCTGTGGTAGGATCAGCAGATTTGGCCCAGTTTTATCAACCTCTTTATTTGCAATATATTTAGCCTCTTTTGTTGTTGTTTTTGAAATGTATTCTTGGAAACTTGGAAAATTACACAGTGGAGGCTTCCCTCTCTGCGCCTTTGAAAGTAGAGGCCTGAAGCAGAGCTTGTAATTACCTCTTTCAGACACTAGGTGGCTCTCATCATTCATTCACATGGCCAAATGCTAGAGTTTGCTTTCTCTTAGTAAAATGTGAACTACCTCCTATTTTAAGCAGCATAGCATAAGAACTACAGAGCTGCACAAAAGGGCATCAACAGTTTGGTAATAACGCCTTTGGGCCAGACCTCCCCTGAGGTCTGCAGGCTACCCATCCACAGAAGCTTGTTAGGCAAATCCTCCTGAACCTTTGTAACCTGCTACCCCTCATTCCACCCCATCGCCCTTCACTCCTGCTCTAAATCAAAGAAGGATGACATATGCTTAATATAAAATTTAGCTGCATTTAAGGTAAAGAAGTTTCTGTACTGTAATTAAACTTAGTTTATTGGGACTCAAATTATTCCAGGTCTTCAACCATTCTGCACAAATGGAAATTTACTTGACTGTAGTTTTCAATGGACTAAAACCTATATGACCTTAAAATGAAATCCCTAAATTGAACATTTTGTATTTTTTCTTCAGATCACTGTTTTTTGGAGAGAGTTGATTGATCCAAGGCTGATTGTTGAGTCTTTGAATAGCACATCAAGTACAGAGCTTGCCTGAGTATGACGTCTCCACCACATAGTTTATAAATGCCTTGTTTGTGAAAGTGACTATAACCTGAACTTTAAAAAAAAAAGATCTGAAAGTTGTATGCATTTTTTTAGTTATCTTCACTGTACTGCATAGGACAAAATATCTACCTCATCATTTAAAATACATGGGTGTATTGCTTTTCTAGACCTTTTTTTCAGGTTTAAATTTTAGTGACAAGAATTTAAAACATGACATTCCCTGTAGGCATTGTTATATATCAGTATGTATGGTTTCTTGTCTTTTTTATTTTTTGACCATCAGGTAGCCGTTGTCAGAAGCAGTTTATAAATATCAAGTACAAGAAAGTGCTGCATATCTTGTCTCAGTAAGATTTATTAAGTAACATTGTACAACATGAAAGCATGTTACTTGACCTAATTTTTTACATTTGAGTTGTTCTATTAAATGTGGAACATCTTATACATTTCAAATATTTTATAATTGTAATTGTCAAGAACTAACCAGTAGTTGGGTATGTTGCAGACAGTGAGTAAGAAACCCTTTCACGTTATTCTCAACTGCGAAGTAAAGGGTTGTTAGGGTGCCGCGCAGAGCAGCCAACATAAGGCCTGCTGTGTGTGCCTGGGGAGGACGCCTGTTTCACTCGGCGAGGGGGTTTACTGTGAGTTCAGGCCAGGAATGTATTACCTTTGCTAGAAGATCTCAAGCCCCTGGCCGAGTGTGCTGGAGTGAGGATCTTGAACAGAAACTTCCCTTCCTGTTACTACTCAACACGAAGCTAAAATGACGACTGTGAAAATTGCTTTCTTTTAACGAAAGATCGGATCCCTCCAGCTCTGCAGATTTTTAAATAAAATTATATTGAACTAAACTTTCATGCTGGGTCATTACATTTAGTTGAGTATGGCAAATCACTGTTGTTGTTGTTGTTTCTTTACAATAATGTGAGAGAGTAAAATTTTCTGGAACAAGAAGGTATTGCATAGTTTAGTCAAACAGAGTTTGTTAGATCTGGGAGCTGTTCGACCAGTGAAGATGCTGTCCAATTTTAATTTGCATGGCATTATGTGAATCAAAATGTGGATTTACTGATTTGTAATGAGAAGTATTAGTCCAGAATGATGGGATCTTGGCACTGGGGCTCTTGTGTGGCACACTTTCCAGGGTTTGGAAAACAAGACAACTAGTAAATGCCAACAGGTATGTGAAAAAATGCTCAATGTCGCCAGCTGACAGAAATGCCAGTCAAAACCTCAGTGAGGTATTAGCTCACACCTGTTTGAATGGCTTTTATCAAAAAGTCAAAAAATAGCAAACAGGATGTGGAGAAAAGGAACCCTTGTGCACTGTTGGTGGGAATGTAACTTGGTTACAGCTACCATGGAAAACAGTGTGGAGGTTCTGCAAAATATTAAAACTATATGATCCAGCAATTCCACTTTTGGGTATTTATTTGAAGAAAATGAAAACACTAACTTGAAAATATACATGCACTCCCATGTTTATTGCAGAATTACTTATACTAGCCAAGATACAGAAACAACATTAAGTGTCCATCAGTGGGTGAAATGGATTAAAAAATGGTGATATATATATATTATACATATAAGATATATGTAGTTATTATTCAGCCATTAAAAAACAATGATATCTTGCCTTTTGTGACATTATGGGTGGAGCTTGAGGGCACTATGCTAAGTGAAACAAGTCAAGACAGAGAATGACAAATACCATATGATCTGACTTATGTGGAATCTTAAAAAAAAGCCCCAAATAAAGCTGAACTCACAGGGACTAGACTGATGGTTGCCAGAGGCATGGGGTGCTGGGCTGGGCAAGACGGTTGAAGGGGGTCAAAAGCGCAAACTTCCAGTTATAAAATAAATGTCATAGGGGTGTAATTACAGCATGGTGACTATAGGAAATAGTACTGTATTTCATAGTTGAGAGTTGCTAAGGGAGTAGATCTTAAAAGCTTTCATCATAAGAAAATGTCGTAACTAAGTATGGTGACAGATGTTAACTAGACTTACTGTGGTGATCGTTTTATAATGTATCCAAATATCAATTATGTTGAGTACCTGAAGGTAATATATTGTTATGTGTGTCAATTATACCTAAAAGGAAAAAGGTTAACTAGTAAATGTCAACTCAACTACAGGGAAGTGTTGACTTCAAGGTGTGTTTTCTTCAAATTAGTTTATGAGTCACCTTTTCCCTCTTTAGTGGTGTTTTTTTAAACAATGAATAGCACTCTACTACAAGGGTCATTTTAGGAGGTCATGACCTGCCTTTTGAAAGATGAAATACAAAAGAATGGTAAACAAATACTGTACCACCTCTAGTAAATCCAGGTTTGCTTTATGAAACAATTTATATATCCCTGTGTGTGTACTGGATCACCATATAAAATGTAAATATTTACATTTACTGCTTGAAGTCAGAGATGTAAGTGTCAGATGTGGAAACCCTAAACTATACCATTTATTCCAGGAGGGACAGAAAAAGAGGGGAGATGAAAACAAAGCTGCTCGGCACAAACCCGGGACAAAATCTTTGCCTCACTGCTTGGGACTGGTGGTCCAGGAACAGTGTTCCAGAGGGGGAGAATAGCAAGTGCTCCGATGCCAGCTGCAGTTATTACTATTCTGTGGGTATAAAGTTATAACTCATCTAACTCCTCTCAACTTCGTACTGAGTAACTTGCCAAAGACCACCCAACTAGAAGAGGGAGAGTCTAGTATAATGTCAGAGCATGTATTCCTGTCCCCAGGGCGTTCTGGTGGCTGTCCCTGACGTGGCTCTGTGCTGGGCTGAGGGTAAGCAGCAGCAGGGGGCCTGCCGCCCATCTCCCCCGCGGAACCTTCACCTGTGGGGACAGGAACATTTGGACTACCTCTACCCCACGCATCAGAGGTCCATCTTAAGGTTGTTCAGAAAATGTTGGTTTACTCTAAGCCTCTAAGCAAACTCAAAAGGGGCGTATTCATAAACTCCAACTCATGAACATTCAGGAAGAAAAGTCCCAACTCAACTAGCATGGGATAGTCTTCACAGTGGATTGATTTCACTTTGCAAAAATTATATCGATTTAAAACAAAGGAATTTTGTACCCTGCCTAAAATGTTCATTCTAAAGTTTTGCTGTCTAAATAAGAGTGGAGCTACAGGTAGCACCTAGATCTAAACAACCCAGGTGTAGCCATGGGAACGGGACGGCTGGGAGAGCATCCCTCCTGTGTCCTGATGGGATGGACTCAAGGGGAAAAAGAAGTTTTGGTTTAAGCCATGAGTCTGCACTGGAACCTAAGTGCCCAGTCGTCGGTCACTGTAGGGTTATATGACCTTAAAGCCGGAAGCTACGTTCAGAATAAGAAAGCCCAGTCTCTGTTTTCACTTGGAGATGACAGATCCAGAGGAAGTGAAGTCACACAGCCTGTGGTTAGAACAGGGCTCTAGAGTCTGATGAGCTGGGTGCAAATTCTGCCTTTGTCTTCTTACTCACTTCACCCTCAAGTTATCTAACCTCCCCAAAAGCCACTTTCCTCACCATAGCACCCACCAATAGGAGTATGGTGAGGACTGAATGAGACAGTAATGCATGGGAAGCATTCAGCACCAGACCTGGCACATAGTGCTTCTTGATCAGACGTTAGTTATCATTGATTTCTGTTCCTGTTATGTGATTTGCCCAATGTCCTGCTCCAAATTTTTGTCAGAACTTGAGTCCCCTTAATTTATTTTCCTCTGTTGGAAATGAGTTGCGCCATGTATTAGCGCTGCCGTGTTGAGACTTCCTTTCATTACGCCTTCGTAGGAGGAAGTCAACCTCCTAACTCTTATCAGCAATGCCTTTATTCTAGAAGGCTTGGCGATTTCTGCTCCTGACCACATCCATCCGTTATCTCCAGAATCTTGTCTTACCCTAACATTCAGGCGGTACAGCTTTTACCCCAGGCCCCTAACCATGACCCCCCTTTCAGAGAGGTTATATTGAGAGAATGACTCAGGGTTGCGTTTTGTTTTTACGTCCTTCTTCTCTGTAAATGCCTTGCCACATGCATTGTATACTGGATTTTTTTTCTTTTTTGGGGCAGATTCTGCCTCATGTTTATTTGTACCAATAGCACAGAGGGACACCCAGGTTCCATGCAGACAGAAGCCCGGGTCACACCTGTCCTTCTGTCTTCATCGACAGACAGAGGCCTCTATTATGGAGCCTTTGTGAGGGCCTGGGCTCCTTTGGAAACCCCTAGCCATGCAGGGGTTTGGTTCCTGGACTTGGCCGTATCTGCACCGAAGCCCGTGGCTCCTGAAGCGCCTGGGACTGAAGAGCTGCAAGGTATACTTTCATAACTTGTAGGATGTTTTAAAAGGGATACGGTACCAGTAGGAGTGTTACTTAAAAAGACATCAGGAGGTCGAACCATTAGACAATAGGAAATGGAGAGGCTGCAGGGCTGGAGTTGGGGGTGAGTAAAGGATGCAGAAGCAGCCGGTGGTCTGAGGCCCTGATGGGACTGCAGCCAGCAGGGAGTGCACTGCGGGCCTCGGCTGTCATCGGCCTTCCCTCCTTCCTGAGGCCTCGCAGTTCTCCAAAGACACGGAGGGGAAGGAAGAAGAGGTCTGCTTGTACTCCCAAAGCACTTCTCTTCTGTAGAGCTGCAAAGGGGACGGAGCCTCACGGAGCTACCCTCCTCGGCTGGCAGCCACCTCAGTCATGGGGCCTCCATAGACTCCGGACCTGGCGGAGCCCAATCTGCCATCTGAGACTTCCTCGTCTGCCCCAGGTTCTGGCCTCCTTGTCTCGGGTTAGTAACAGAGCGAGGGGAACAAACCCAAAATTCCACCATTAGAAATTGAGCAAGAGGTTTGGAGCTGAATCCCTTAAGAATATGTCCTTGTAAAATCATTACATGAAAAAAAGCTAAACACAACTGAGTACAGGAATATGCTTTTGGCTCCTGGGCAGATAATTAAGAACTGCTGCTCTGTCTTGTGCAACATGAATAAGGGCTTTGGTGAATTTTTAAAACATTTTTATGATAATTAAAAAAAATTTTTCCCCTTCAGTATCAATTCAAATGTACTGTATTTTGCTGTGTATAATGCACACCTTTTTGCCCACATATTTGAGGAAAAAATAAGGATGCACATTATACATGGGTAGTACCTTGTATCTGTTCTTGTGTTTTGTAATTATTTGTTACATAAAATTTCTTGTACCATAATATGTTAAAAAATAAATGCTAAAATTCCTTTATAATACAAAAACCAAGTATGTAAATATAATAAAAAATTGAATTAAAAAATTAAAACAAAATTTTTTTTCCTGAAAGTTTGGGCCAAAAACATGGGTGTGCATTATACACAGCAAAATACAATATGTTGTTTTTGCGAGGTCATATTAAGATTTTTAACAACTACATACACAACATCCTCCCCCCTCCCATTTTTAAAAAAGAAATGCAGTCTCACATAATCCTTGGAATTCCAAACATTTATTCCATCAATGTTACCAGTGTAGCTACCTTCTTTAGGCCTTTTGGGAGACAATCTTGAGAACCCTTGTCAAATGAGCATAGTAGCAATAGTAATAAAAATGTAGCTAATTGGCCATATTGAGTTCTCACCCTTTAAGAATAGACTTAATTTCTGAAAACAGCCAAGTTTGTTGTCTCCTAATCCATTTTAAAAAATAGACTTTATTTCCAGAGCAGCTTTCACAGCAAAATGGAGCAAGAAATACAGAGAGTTCCCATATATCCTTGACTCTGCATCTCCCACACAACCTCCACCAATATCAACAATCTACAAAAGAGAGGTACAGTTGT